AGGCAAAAACGAGTTACTTTGGCCATCTACTTCGCCTCAAGCTCTCAAGTAAGCTAGAAATGTACACAATTAGTAGTAGAATTCAAGAGTAAGTGTGTGTGACAGAATGAACCAAACTTACGTGACCTTCCCTTTTAATGTTTTTCGACTATGGCCTTTACTTGGCTTCACGTCCTCAAGTGAGCTAGAATCGCCGAAAATTGGCGATAAAATAGATAATCATTTTTAAAACAAAGCGTGGCTCTGTGTGACAGAACGAACGAAATTTGCGTGACTTTACCTGTTCATGTTTGTCAACCTCGCCCCAAGCTTTCGAGCTGGTCAAAACTGTAAAATGAGCATCCGCAGAATGGCAAAGCATAAGCAAAGCTTGACCGTGCGTGACCAAACGTGACAATGTGAACCAATTTTTTTGTGGCTCTACCTTTTAATGTTTTTGTTATCTTCGATAGGTTTTGGCGGTCGATGTATAATCGACATGAGAACGACGTTCACCCACGTGAGACAGTCATGGATGCACTCAGCAGTATCATAGATCATAACGATTCACTACAAGATCATATAAAATTTCTCTCGTCTGTAAGTATAGTCTGTGAGCTGAGTTACAGATCCGAATTAGGCATCAAGCCGTATGCATTGCGGATGAAATGTCGATCGTCTTTTGGGTATGGGAGGGGAAGGTAGTAGACGCGCTTTGTGACTTGTGATATCGTCACCATTTTCCAAAATAGCGTTCACACTCGGGCTGTGAAGGAGGAAAACATTTATTTGGAAAGATTCTAGAGGGAGATGGAGCGAATCTTGAAAAAAGGGAAAAAAACGCGAAGATATCTGGGTGACTACTTTCCAATCTCCCTGAGGTGATTGATTATCGGGGGGCTCAATTGTAGTGTCGACTGACTACGAGCAGTCCTTTCTTTTCAGCTAAGTCTGTTCCATCATTCCGAAAAAATAAACTACAAAAAAACTGTGGTTAGCTCGCCGCGCGTCGCGCGGAACAGTGGGAGTTGAGCACAAGAAGTAAAGACTAAGCGAGAGAGTTAACCGCTGTGTTGCGCTCACAACGCACCAATATGATTGACTATCGGCCGGAAATGTCAACAAGCGGTGAGGCCTGTAAAGGCTCGTTAACGCTCCAGAAAAATCATGACTGATGAGCTGCAGGATTGTTCATCGCCGTTTCCGAGAATTCGCTTTTGAAATCTGCCTCACTCCCAGAGTTCCGCGCGCCGAAAAAGAGGGACTGCTCGTAGTCTACTGCAGTGAAGTTTGTTGTACATAAAGATGTTTGTCTTCGCCTCAACAGCGGGTCGAAATGATGAAAACACTGGCCAATCCTACGAGTGACTCTGAAAACAACACCGAGATGATGGATTCACTTGAAATGAAATGTCTCAGTGCTCAACGTGAATCGCCTAGTGATTCGTCACAGGAACTAGCGTCTCTTGAGAATTCAGTGAATAGTATGGACCTCAAGACAACACTGAAGAACAATTCATTACTAAACAGTCACGTGAATGACTCATCTTCCTTACCCTTTTTGTCTGCGGGCGAGGCAAGCAGCGCAAGCCAGGAAAGTGGGAGTGGGGGCCTGGTGCCGGATCAGCTGCAGAAAAGTTTAAAACGTCAGGGATTAACAGTAAATGATCTTCTTCAGTCTGCTCCGCCGTTTGCTTTGGAGTGGAAATCAGTTAGAGATGTCTTCCAATGTTCCACCTGCTCGTCTCCGATTGATTCTCTCAGTCGGAAGGTGAGTTGTGTTACCTTGCAATTATTGCAATGTCAGTTGAGTGTCGAAAGCAGTGCTGGATTACATTAGTTTTTACTTTTCTTGCTCATTTTCTCAACCTATCAGTTACCAATTGCGACTTGGCCGATCGCATTTTCCTTGCTTCAGGTGGCTTTTTTTAACTTAGAGTTCTCATTGGCTCGTGATGTTTACCTTCGCTCTGATTGGCCGTTAAGAATATTTTGGTTTTGGTTTTACGATACTAACGCGGGAAGCGTTCTTAATTTGTCAAATCGGAAAAAAAGTATCACATCTTGAAAGAGATGTGAAAGAGCCATGCCGCTCATGTCATGCTTAAAAGTTTTCCTACATTTTTCGAGGTTTTTAATTGCCATTGACGAAATGAATTGCTTTGTTAAAGAAAAACTTGAAAACTTTTACCCCATTCACACCAGGAAAACATGTTTAGTTGAAATGTGTTCAACTGAATGAATATCAGAAACAGGGAACTGAAAAACTGAATTTTCCATAGTTTTCAAGAGGTCACTAACCTTTTTTTCAAAGTGCGTAATTTGAAGTCGAAAAAAATGGGCTAAGCAGCTTCTATGAAGAAAAATAATTTAAACCGTGTTTATCAAAGCAGCGTTAAAACACGTCAAGCTTTGGTGTGAATGAGGTATTAGATGCAAGAATCGTCAATCTGATTATAGTTTCTGTTCACTCACTTTTGCAATTCTAACCATGAAATCTTTTCTTCATAGTATCACTGTTGGAATTGTGGAGAAGTTTTTTGTAAGAGGTGCATCGATAAACAGTGTTCCCTTCCTGGACATTATTCAGATAATCGTGTTCCTGTTTGCAAGAAATGTTACAAAGTCCTCAAGAAAATCAAATAGATATTCCGCGCGCGATTACGCGCGAGTGACAGATTTTAGGACACGACGAGAAGGCTGTTCCAGGTTCTCAGTCGGTGAAGACGGGCACACGAAAAACTACAGGCAACGGGCGCGCGATTGTTGCAGTTGTCAAGGAAACGGCTGCCAGCATGCAATAATGCGTACTTCTTCATTGAATGAAAGTATGCAAAAGGCTGCTAGATGAGTAGCTAGCATGAAAGTAATTTTAATTTCGAGAAATAGAGACAAGAATTCTTTTTTACATGGACGAATGGTTATAACAGAGAATATACCTTTACACAAGCAATTCCACAAAAATTAATGGTTATCATTGCAAATTCATTGTACGAAAATATTGTTGTTAAAATAAGAAAATTCATTAAAGAAGATTTAATACTGGAGCTTGTCGCATTCAATTTTCTTGGTGATCTGGAAACAATCAAAGCTTAAGGAGGCTAGGTCAAGGTCAGGCGACAATCCCGATTATTTTTCTTGAAAGCGTTTAAGGTAATCCGGAAGTGCTGTGTGATTGGTCTTAAAAACCCGCCCCACTTTCTGAACCAATCAGATTCAAAACCAACTTAGTCACCAGCATTTTCCCGCACTCGGTCGCGTTGAGGTTTGATTACTTTGAGTTCTCATTGGTTACTTTCAATGTTAAGCTTTGAACTGATTGGCTGTGGCAGTTGCTTTGGTCAATTGCTTCGGTACGATACTTGATAGTAAGGCGCTTCATAAATTACTTTTCTATGTAATTTCGTTGAAAAAACGTTATGACAATGTTTGTTAAGTTTTCGTGCGTTATTAATTTCTCAAACTCTCTTTAACTTTACTTTTACTTTCCCCTTTCTTGTTATTTGTTAAATGTTTCTTACAAGTTCTTGAACAGGAAGGCGATAATTTAGTCAGTTCCGTAGCGAGTTGCTCTGTCGCAAGTTTGCCTGATCTTTCATTACGAACCTTTCTCTGTAAAGTAGCAAAATTTCGAAAAGTGGTTGATTAAAAATGACTCTGACAGATTCCAAATGCAGGTTATCATAAAATTGAATTCTTTAACTTGATTATCGCGAATTACGAAGTTCTCAGGGGTTGAACAGTATAAAGGTAAATGTCAATACAAAATCCCCCTGTTGTAGAGTGTTCGAAGCGAATTAAAAAGAACAAGGAGTATATTATATTTAGATAAATAAAATTAGTCAAAAAGTTAATAATCTTAATTTGGTGTGGAAATCAGTCCATAGACTTACATCTTAGCGAGAGAAAAATAAAAATATCCAATTCGTCTAATGCGAAGGGCATGAAAATCTTAACTTCGACAACTCTGTCAATAGTCACTTGTTCTCTTCCTAATCTGCGTTAAGTGAACTTGTTGCCGGCGAGCATGTTCAACTAAAGCAATTTTCAATTCAGTGTCGAAATAAATCCAGCATTGAATTGATTAGACCGTCCTTGAGAAGATTTCTCATTTTCCGAGCCTTGTTTGTGTGTCTTAAAACGTGTTCCGTTCAAGTTTTACCTGTTACTCTTATCGATTTGTGACGTACAGACGTAAACATGAAAGTTTGTCACAAACAATACAAGATGAATGATCTTTTACAACGAAGAAATGTGAAATGGTTATAATGTTTTGTAAAAGACAGATGTCCGTTGGTGTAGTCCAGGGCATAGACTGTTTCGTCTATACCATGACGTCATTAAACATGTCGTCACGTTCCAATTTTGAAACACTTAGGCTTGCCCCACGGTTCAGTCTCCCATTTTTGTCTCTAATATTTATGGCCCTAAGAGCCCAGTTCACTTAATATAGCGAAGAAAGAGCTTCGCGTCAAGAGCAGTTTGAATGGTGTCGGTTGAAATGTGTAGGAGAAATCACTGAATTCCTAAAGGTCTGTTTCTTTTTCGTTTCAGCTCATGAATTATCATATCCGCTTTTTGAAAACAGTCTGTCCACTTTATGACAAGGGACAGTCAAGTAAGACAATCTGAAAAAGATAATTCAGAAAAGAGCGTTCGTTTCAATTTAAAATAATATCGACTAGAACTCACAAGAAATTCATCCCAAATGGTTCTGCTCGGCATTCAAACGAATACTTTATCAAGTCCGGGAAAACTCAGATCAACAAGAAATTATTTCGACCTCAAACGATTCCTTTTTGTGGACATCTCGTCATGAACAAGACTGCCATTGCTAGAGAGCGCCCTTCAAATCAAGCAAGCAAACAAGGTGGAGATAAAAATTATATCGTTTCTAGAACGTACTTCTCCTTCAGCTAACTACCTTGGAATTGCATATCGGTTCAGAAAATGTACCACAACTCAAATCAAAGCAATGAGCGTTTTTAGGCAAAATCAACTAACAGTTGTGTTAAATGTGCAAGTTTACCCTCAGTACTTCTAGTTGGCGGAGTTCCACTGTAAAAAAAATAGTCTTTTTGGTTTCTCTCGAAATACGCGTTTTATGTTCGTTCTTTGTTTATTTTCGGGATATTCCCCTAACGGACGATACTTCCGTAATCAATGGAACAGTCATCACAATTTTTGTTCCCAAACAGTCTTCTTCCGATATTGCAGACCCTGGAACAAGCATTGGATCATATATTGCACACACTGGATAAAGTAATTTATCTTACTTTCGTTTAGAAGATAACAGATGCTCTGAAAAACAAGTCAACATTTACAGTCATTCCTCCGTCCTGTTCTAAACATTATTCTCATTAATGAACATGTGCTTTTCATTTTTTTTTTAAGCGATAAAATACTGTCACAAACAAAGTCTGTCAGATGAGACAATGGAGCTCTACATGTCTTGTCATACAAATTCCTCTAAAGGTGAACTTAACCGAACACCTTACTGACTTTCTTGTAGATTCCCCTTAAAAGGACAGTATGGGAATTCATCTGTCATTGATTGTGGGGATATTCATCAGTTATCAAAAAACTTTCCTGATTCTTCTGTTCTCATTCAAGCAGCTTCTGTTTTAAGTTCTTCAGATTGTTCCTTGTTGTCATATTTATCCGTGATGTTTTGTTTTTTCTGTTGCTCTCTAAGCCACTGCCTGTAGTCACTGACATTCTTAATACTTTCCCCATAGTAATCATCTTCAAATTTACTGTTTGATGAAGCTCTCCTGGCTGTGACTCTTTCCAAGAAATCAGCTTCACGCTACAAAACATAGACAAAAAGCAGTTTCTTCACATTTTTTTCTTGCTTGAGGAAACATAAATCTATACAAGTAAAGTTCTGTCCCCGATTGATCAAAAGATGGATAATGCTATCCAATGGATAAACCCCTTTCTGGTGGATAACGTAGTCGGTTTAGGTCCTCTTGCTCATAACAAATATTTTAATTCCAATCCAAAGACTGATTAAACTTGTTCAACATTCTATTTTTCTGCCTTCCTAAACTCACCCTTGTGGTCAAATCACCTTTGTAACAGACACATAACTTATGCCCTGCACGGGTTAGGGTAGGGTGGGGTGGGGTAGCTATCTACCTCTTATATACAGAATTATATCATATCAATAAACAGTTGAATCTGTATTAGCTTTTTAACTCCCAAGATCTGATTGTTAATTCTCCCCTCTAGCTGCTACACATTGCCTTGTAAATTAGTTACAAGAATTTAGTGTTAGATCAAGATAACAACTTTGACCTGATACATTTGAGTATTCTCATTACCTGTTTGCTGAATAGTGCATGGATATTGTAGGGAGAAGTTACTTGTTAATCACTTCTGGGAGTTAACTCCTTACTGTCAACCATACAATTCTTATAATGTTAGTTCAGAGAATTTAGTATCAGATCAACTAATTATCCCCAAAATGGTTATATTTCTTTATTCTCATTACTTGTCTGGTTGATATTGTATTGATACTGTAGGGAGAAATTCTGTCTTGGTCACTCATGAGAGTTAAAGGGTTGAGCAGTTGACCACAGGGAATGATGGGGTGACTGCTCAACACTGGTTGACCACTTGATAGACCTTCCACAGAATACGGGTATAATTAAAAAACTATAAAAAAAACACCCTTTCTTCCATAATTGACCACTTAATGTATAAAAACCTCCCTTAAATATACTACCAACATTGATTTCAGGAGATAAAAATAGTTCAAATTTTACTTTTCTTTGAGTTTTTCAGCTTGGTGGAAAACAATTCAAACAGGCCGTTAGAAGTCATTAAAGGGTGATCATGAGAGCTTAAAAGAGGTGACCCCTTAATAGAGGTGAAAATTACAGTAATTAAGGGGAAAAATTTAATGAATTTGGAAACTGACCCCTCAACCCTTTAACTCCCATGAGTGACCAAGACAGAATTTCCCCTTACAATATCAATACAATATCAAGCAGACAAATGATGAGAATAAAGAAAAATATTAATTAGGGGATTATTAATTGATCCAATGCCAAATTCTCCAAACTAACATGATAAGAACTGTACGGGAGATAGTGAGGAGAATTACTAATGAGATCATGGGAGTTAAAAAGTTAGTACATGTTGATCTCTTAATATGCTGCCACTTAATACAGGTTCAACTTTATATTGCAACAATATGATAACAGAATTTCTCATAGACTGCTGTGCAGATGACTCAGCTTGATTTAGATTTAGAGTAGATAGATCAGGGGTAGAGATATATAGGAAGATGCGATATCATTATTTCCCTTCTCCTCCCACATCCTTTTATACTGCCTATCCACCACCCCCCCCAGAAAAAAATTTCTTTCTCATCCCAGCCTTCCTCTGCTTCAAGGTAGTAGCCAAACCATTCCTTAAGAATTACTTGTTGATTGATTAAAACACTAATTAAAACACCATAGTTTATACAATTTCATTCAATAAAACTAGGCATAAAAACAAGAATAAATCTGTTATCTACACCAGTACCTGTGAATAATAAAATTTACAATATTAGGTCTGCAAAGAAACATACCTCTTGCATATTTTGTGCCAGGTCCTTGTTAAACAACTTCCAAACTGATTTAAATGCCACAGTTCCAGCAGCAAACCCAACACCAGCACTGGCCACACCACACAGACCACAGAAAATTATTGGATCCATTCCTCTGAAAATGCAAAAGAAACAACATGACTCTCCAATATGGACCTTCATTTCGTACAAAATTGTAAATGGAGTGCTGTGATGTATGAAAACGAGTTCTTACTTACTTTAAGGTATTTTAACACCTTAAACCCTACGAGTGACCAGCATCTAATTTCTCCTTACAGGAATACTGCTGAATCACTGACTGAGATCATGAGAATAAAGGAAATGATTGCCAGCCTTAGAAGCTTTGATTGTAAAACAAATTCTCCTTGTCAGTACCAAAAGAAATATATAGAGAAGATTATAGAGAAGATTATAGAGAATATGGATGCTGATGTTAGGATATAAGGATTAAAGAGAACTTTACATACAATATCGGTTCAATCTGCTCCGGAGTAGCATCGAAGATATTTGGGAACATGTAAGCAGTGATGGTGCTCGATGCTAACAGAAATGTTACACCAATCGGCAAACCAGCTAGCTTCTGCTTGGTGCGTAGCTTTCTTCTCAGCTGCTGGAACTCCTCAAATGATAGCTGGAATCTTTTCGGCGTGATGTTCTGACCGCTGAACAACGGACTTCTTTTGATAGTTGGAGAACGTTCTTTCAAAGTGTCAGGAACACTTTGAGAAGAGCTCTCACAATATGGACGATTCAGTATAGCCATACATGGTATACTGGATTTGAAACCTGTACGGAGAACGACTAGAGTTCTTTTTCCACTGAAAAAGTTACGAAAATTTCTCACGCTAACGGCCGCCATCTTGGAAAACAAAATTACCCACAACTCCTCGTATCTTCAAAGTAGGGCTGCTGAAAAATAATCGTGGACTCATTTTCCCAGGACAGAGAAGGAAGTAGACATAAAGATTTCCAAGGAGGGTTATCGTTCAACTTTCGAGCCAAAGAAAATGGTCCGATGGCTACCATTAGAATCAAATCCAGATGTAAGACTAAGTCTTATGTGTTCTCTATGTGATTTTTTTCCTAAATGATGTGAATAGATCCTCTTAATTAACTTGACTTTACGTTATTCATTCATTTTGCAAATTGCTGATTTCCTGTCATTCAAATTACTTCAAAGGTTATGAACAAGGTTAGTGTACGTTAAATTGGTTCCTTACGTGATATAGCTTAAGTGATATGGAAACTTAACTGGATAAATTTTTTAGTGTGAGAAAACCTTGCGTTGGTCAATCATGAGAAAATTCCACTGTTGTTGTCTAAATATTCATACAAACCAAAGTTGTAACTATATATATGTGCAAATATGTTAGATAGTCTAGTCAAGCTACTTCAAATAACTTATAAATGATATATTTTTAAAATACATCGATGATCCCTGGTTAAAAAAGATTTGTTTCTTGGTCCAGCCCTGTCAAAAATTTCAGTTTCAAACGAGAATATTTTCAGTTTCAAAGAAAAGTTACAAACTAAAGCCATTGCCATAAATTGGCAAGATTTCCATATAACCTCATGCTTCATTAAGCATACAGTTCATGGATAAAAAGAACAATTATAGCAAAAACATTAAATGGCTCTGTTTTAGAATAGTTTTGGGTGGTACAGAAATCTTTCCTGGCTTATCCCCACAGGTAGAACCTGTAATTGCAAGTAAGAATGATATGGATGCTTAATTAACTGGCAACTGTAAATACCATACAGTAGAATAGTACTCATCATGTGTACTGATTGACTGGTGCAGAAGTGATTACCAAGTACTATTCACCTCCCAGCAGCCAAAGAGACAAAATTGCATGTCGGCAGTTTGATTTCCTACCATTTTTTGGTACATTGACAGAAATAAGTTAGTTTTTTCGGTTTCTGTGAAGTACAGTTATTCACCTCTACTTTGGTGAATAATTGTTAACCCTTTTACTCCAATAAGTGACCAAGAGAGAATTTCTCCTTACAATATTAATACAATTTCAACCAGATACGTGATGAGAATAAAGAAAAATATCAATTTGGGTATAATTAGTTGATCCAATACTAAATTCTCTGAACTAACATTATGAGAATTGTATGGTTGACAGTAAGGAGAACGACAAATTTGATCTGGGAGTTAAAGGGTTAATTATCATCTAACAATTGTTGTTTATAAACAGTTTGTCGTAAATCTTGGTTTAAAGCCAACATGGAGCTTTGTTGATGTTTTTGGACTTGAACCTGAGTTATTGGCCATGTTACCTCAGCCAACATGTGCATTGCTTCTTCTTTTTCCAACAAGTGATAAGGTAACATTTAGCTCTTTAATACCAAAGAGAGACCAGCATCTAATTTCTCCCAACCTTAATGCTGCAGAATGATTCATTTACTCATAACAGTGTCTAGTATCTAATTTCTCCTTACAATATAACCCCTGAATCAAACATTAAGGTCATGAGAATAAATAAAATGATCACCAACGAAAGAAGCTCTACATTGCTAACCAAATTCTCCTTGTCAGCACCTTAGGAAATGTATAGAGAACAGTATGGAGAATATGCATGCTGACGTTAGGGTATGAAGGGTTAAGAACATGAGAATAAAGGAATAAAGGAAATAACTGCCAACTTATGAAAGCAAGCCTTGATTGTTAAATGAATTCTCCTTATCAGTACCAAAGGAAACATAAAGAGAAAAGGGATGAATATCAGTATCTGGGAAACTGCCCACCTACCCCTCCCCTAACTCAACAACAGTCAATTGACAACAACTTAAGGTTAATGTTGGGTTAGGGGAGGGGTAGGTAGGCAGCTGCCCAGACACTAATATTGATCCGAGAAAAGTACTGAGAATATAGATACTGATGTTAGGATGTTAAGGGTTGATATGTCTATATACCCATCCATTTATTACCTCTATCTCTCTTTCATCTTCAACTAATAAGTGTCCTCCATGATTATGTGGGATTTGAACCTCTATCTTGAGATAACTAACATTATTATACATTAGACTTTTATTGAAAAATCTGTTTGGTCGAGAGCATGCAATCAATTATACAGAAGAGTGCGACTTTGACATGATAACACAATATCTGCAGCAGATATTGCATTTATCATGTCAAATTTTAAGTCTGCCTAGTTTCCAAACCCCTTGTCCATGTAGTGTTCTCAAACTTTTGCAAACTCAGAGAGGTGTCTTCTTTTTAAAAAAATTATTGAACTTGCCTCAGTCCTAAGCTTCAGCAGATAACTCAGACCTTGGTTTTGATAATTCATGATATCATGCACAACCTTATCCAATACTTGCTTTTTAATATCAAAAAGGGAAAAATTGGAACTGGGAAATATATGGTGAAAGCTTTTTTTATTGTGTTTTTTTTTTTTTTAAGTATCATGAATATAAGACAGAGCAAGAGGAGAAAGTCAAGGAACATGGCCAGGTAGAGCTATTTATATTTTTATCATGATTTACAAGGCTGAGGAAACATTGAAAACCAAAAATTTAAACTAAGTTGCTCTGTTCACATGTCTCAGTCCACTGTTTGCTTACCTTTTAAAGTCTTTTCTTTTTGTACCATTTCATTGCTGGATACAAAGGGTCTTAAAGATAACTGTTGTGGATTGCTGGTCAATTATGAATTGCATATACCCCAGTACTTCAAATTTGTGAAAATTGGCATTATTTTTTGCTTGGACTGCACGGAAGATACATGTCTTTAGACAGTCATGCTTCAAAATGAGAGCATGACAGTTTTACAAGTTCAAGGCTTTTCAAAGTTGCCATTCCATAGTCAAAAATCAGAAAATGGTCAAGAGAAATAGTAAACCCCACACTCACACAAACCATGAGAGACAGGCACCAGTACAACTCTAATGCAATTTGGAATGGTAATCTCGCTTTAACTTTTGGTATGCAAAATTAAAAATTTATGAATAAAAATAGTTCAATTGATACTGAACTAGCAAACACAGTTAGCCAATTTGGCAACGTCTGCTTAACCCTTTAACTCCCAGAAGTGATTGACATGTAAATTCTCCCTGTACTACCTATACATTGTCCCTGCACATGGTAATGAGAATACTAAAATTTATCAAGTTAAAATTGTTATCTTATTCTGATTCTAAACTCTCGTAACTAATTTAAAAGGGAATGTGAAGCAATCAAGAGGAGAATTTACCATCAGATCATGGGAGTTAAATGGTTAAGTGGTAACCAAAATGGTGGCAGCACTGAGGGTTGCAGGATTAAAGTTAGTTTATCACATTAGGGAACCCATTTAGGTAGTATACAGAAACTTATTTGTGGAATGTGTGCATTACAGACTGGAATAATTTTCTTGAGAAAAAAACTGGTTCATTTTACTGCAGGAGGTGAGCCCTAATTTGTTCTTCATGAAGCAGACAATTGGCAATGCATGTGGAACAGTGGCTATAATACATTCCATTGCCAACAACACAGATGTACTACAGCTGGGTGAGTTACATATTGGAGCTGTAAATAATTGTGAAAATTAATGATCTATCATTGGAGTTTATTAAAACCTTTTAGCCTGGATAAGTGTGACTGGCCTCTAATTTCTCCTCACAGTATCTTCCTTGAATTAAAATGTAAAGGTCCTGAGAATATATGAAATAATGACTGATCTAAGAAGCTCCTGATTGTCAAACAAATTCTTGTTGTCTGTACCTTAGGAAATGTAAAGAGAAAAAGTGTGGAGTATTTGAATACTGATGTTAAGGGGAAAAAAGATTCCTGCTATTAAGTCCACATCTAATAAAGAAATAAACCTAGTATAAGGAAGATGCACATATCACAATAAAATAATGTAAATTGAGAGGCAGACTGCTATCGTGGATCCTTAAGGTTTTCAAAGCAGTATGTTATTACTGTGTTATTTCCATTTTTTCTTGACAGACGAGGGCTTTCTCAAGAAATTTATAGACTCTACCAAATCACTGTCTCCAGATGAAAAAGGAGAACGGCTTGAAAGTGATGAGGTATGAGATTTTCTTTCCTTGGTATTAAGGGAAACCATTTTGGTCACAGGTGCGGAAAACAAATGTTCTGCCACACATTGCTTCCATTCAAGCAAATTTTTATTGTGATGTTACTTTCTTTCCAGTTTTAGAGACCAATTATTTTTTATTTTATCATAGAACATCTGTGAAGCGCATGCAGCTTGTGCTCAGGAAGGACAAACAGAGGTTAGAGATATGACAATTGAAGGTTCTTGTGCATGAATTTTGAAAAACTGATTGAAATATGAACTGCAACAAATATTTGCATTGGTGATTGCATTATGACAAGAATCAATTGCAATATAGTTTGATTTTGACATTCTGTTTGCAGACCCCATCTGTTGATGATCGTGTTGATCTTCATTTTGTTGCCATTGTTCACAGAGATGGTTTTTTATATGAGCTAGGTGAGTGACTAACTAAGTGAGCTTTCATTGTACTTGATAATGCCAGCTTTATTGAACTGGCCTTCTAATATTTGGGATAGGTTTGGCAGAAACATTTTTCCTATAACCCCTTACTATAATTCTAAAACAAAGCCATAATCCCAAAGGCACACGACTGTTTTTGCCATTGTTTTCTCTCTCCAAAAATGTATGCAAAATGAAGTATGGGACTGAGCTGTAATCTTGCCCAGGTATATGCTGGTGTGAAGTAGGAAGGTTCAAATATCAGATTTTACCATACATATCCTGGAATTTGCAGCAAAATAACCAGCGTATAGCTTGCTTTTTGTAGGAAAGAAGCAGAGGCATGAATTCAAAATGAATTCTGCCTCTGGCTTTGATGGCTCAGTTGCAACAGTTGTCAATAAGTGTCTCGGCCTAACATGATGAGTTGTCATTGAGTGCCTACGATATTATTACAACTTTGATAAAATAGTCTTGGTCTGGGAATAAGAATCATTTACATGTTGCCTTTAGATGGAAGGAAATTGTTCCCTATAAATCATGGAAAGTCATCTGAAGAAACATTTTTACAGGTGAGGTGATTACATTTATTTAGCGAACCTGTGATGAGAACAAAAAAGCACTTATCAGTCAAAGGGTGTTTTCTTGATAATACACCATTTTATGTTCACTCTTTTACAAAAGAAGTTATTGGAAGTGAAATCATAGCATTTTTATTCAGATTGGGTTAGGAAAAGAATGCATTTATCCATGGTTGAATGACCAATGAACAAAGAGGGTAAGTTTCTAAAGAAACTGCCATCTTGCGTCTGTGGAAAAGTATAACAAGGTTATTAGTTATTATCAACTGAGTTGATAACGTGAATTGGCCACCATTTAGAGTTTCAAAGCTAATGTTTTGAGCATTAGTTTTTTGTTATTCACTTTGACCTAGGGCTAATGCTCGAAACATTAGCTTTGAAACTCCTAACAGTGGCCAATTTACATTATCAACTCAGTTGATAATAGCAAATTACCTTCATTACCTTTTTATACTGTCCCATTGATGCAGCACAACAGTTTCTTTAGAAACTTACCCCCTTTATCTCACCATGTAAGATATTATGTAGTTGGACAACAGCTTGCCATGAGAGACTTGTTGTTCTTTGGTTTTACTTCTTTGTAAACTGCTTTGAACTTTGCCATTATTTGGGGTTGTTATGATGAGTTGTGAAGTCTCACATTTCTATCAAACTTCTCTGGAAGTCTGGAATTTCTTTCTTGAAGCGGCTGTTTGACCTGGTCAAAATTTAGCAAGAGTAGTGAAGAATTATCATCATGAGCCTCCAAAATCAGGTTATGAGCACTGTTGTTTGAAAAAAATTATGTAATTAGAAACAACTGATATATCCTCAAAACAAATGCGAAAGAGAGTACCTTTTCTAAGGCTCTAGCACAACATTTTCCTGTCATGAAAAATACCTTGCAGCAATCTGACCAAAGGGATGGTAATAGTTAGGAGTTGTATGGCTAAAATTGTACATTGTTGTTCTTGCATTTACTAATATGTAAAATTTTAAGACTCCCCATCCCTGTAATATGAATACATTAGAATTTCCCTTACCTTTGTAAAAGCTAATTTTCCCCTTGTTTTGTAGGATGCAGCTGAAGTATGTAAAGAATACATGAAAAGAGATCCTACACAACTCCATTTTACAGTTGTTGCATTGTCCAAAACTGAATGAGTTCTGCTGAGACTCAGATAAATCGACAATACTGTCAACCCTTTAACTCCTATGAGTGACCAAGACAAGTTTCTCCTCACAGTATCAATACAATATAAACCAGATAAGTAATGAGAATAAAGAAAAATATCAAATTGGGCATAATTTGTTGATTCAGTTCTAAATTCTCTGAACTAACTTAAGAATTGTATGGTTGACAGTAAGGAGAATCACAAATTTGATCTGGGAGTTAAAGGATTAATAAGAGAAGAAAATTAGATCATGAAGGAATTGTTTGCTAGGTTTTTTTTCTCTCTTAAAGTGAAAGTCACAGTACAAAAGCTACATTTTTTTGCGTGTAAATTAAGTTTGTTGTTAATTCAAACAGCAAAGATAAAATTGTGTTGAAAAGAACTTTTTCCTGTGGACATGGCTGTGTTGTCTGTTTGAGTGAACAGTGTGGAATGGCCATTTTTGATGTAACTCATTTATCCTCATGGTAATTTTGGTTTTATCTAGTTGGTTGATAATTTAAATTGGCCACCTTAAAGAGTCTCGAAGCTCTGACGAAGGGCTAATGCTCAAAACCTCAGGGGGTTGTATAGCTTCTTGCTAGGTTTCTGTACCCAGATATGGCCCTTTGATGGGAACTTCCATTGGAGCGTGAAGGCCAAACTTTCAACTTAAGACCTCCAACACTACTGTGAGTAAACTTGGCTTTGAAACTGTTTACGGTGGCTAATTTACATTATCAACCAAGTTCATAAAACCAAAATTATCTTGCTATACTCCTCCACTGATGCAGCACCACAGATTCTATAGAAACTCACCCCTTTTGTTCTCATGGTAAATCAAATAAAACCAAACTATTCTCAAAACAGTTTTGTAAAAATGGGAAAACCGAGTTTTTGTCCTTTCAAGGTCCCAGTTTTTGTTACAACTACTATTTTGCAAATCTACTTTCCTTTGTTAAATATGGGGTTTTGCCACTCTTGTGTGTTTTGACACATTCAAAAACCTAGGCTTTCACAGAAAGAGTCAATTCTGAGTGAGAGGAACACTCTTGTCCCGTTTCACTTTCACAGGACAAAAATTGTACTCATTGTCGGTCAGCTTTTATTAATAAAAGATCGATGCAACTGAAAGTATATTGGGGGATAGATATCTCGACCTACGGAAATTACTGACTGCTTGGACAAGAGGAAAAAAAAAACAAAAACGCGATGCTTAATGAGGAAAATATTGCATAGCTTTTAAACAGATTCCCGAAATCCTGAGCAAGCACAAATGTAATACCACGGTTGGTTCGAACTTTGCCGGTTCGATCAGTCTGCGATCTGCGGGCTTTTTAGACCAAATCTACCAATCCTGAATTCTCTTCACTAAACCCCATTTAAATTAGAAAGAGAACTAAGTGACCACTATGGCTTTTAAGGATAAGACCATACGACCATATTAAGCTTCTAAGGGCCTATTTACACGATACGACTTTGTCGCATGCGACAAGCTTACGACAGGCTTACGACACGAATTGTTTCGTGTAAATCAAACCTACAACTCGCTTACGACTCTTAAGTCATGTCGTAGGCCTGTCGTAAGCTTGTCGCATGCGACAAAGTCGTGCCGTGTAAATAGGCCTTAACACAGATGCGCCCAAATTCTCTCATAAGACGGATCACAAGGACACATTTTTTCCCAAATTTGCAATTAGAGGTTCGAGCAGTACTTTCCTGCGTTAAAGCTGTTGGTAGATCGGAATAAAGAGTTGGAGAAAAGCCTACAAGAACAGAAGCCTGTGTCACCTAACTCAGACGTCCTTTATATGTATTGGGGACATAATAACTTCTCATACATGACATACTTACTTGTAACTCAATCGGAAACCGCTGGACAAGTCATGATGATTAATATATCTGAGGAGGGACTGAGGTTGAGACCAGCTGTGCACTTTATTTGGCAGTCAGTGAAAAGTTTTGCTTTATTATGTTGCATTTTATGGGTATTGAAAATGAATAACTCTTCATCAGGATGCGAATTCTGTTTGGTTAACCTCACGCTTGACAAAAACGTAGCTCCTGGACCTATTAACTCTTCTAGCTCGTTAGGGCTTCTGATTGACCAATTCCTATAGGCAACTGTGCCAAAAAGGTCCGATTAAATAATGAAGTTTCAGGAAGATTCATTGCTGCTGTCTCGTTTATTATCCAAAAATTGTAGTTTTACAACAATTATTATCTAATACTAAGAAAGGAAATTACCAAAAAGTACTAAAAAAACGGACATCCTGTTCGGGTCCTACTCTATGTCGACTAAAAACTGACTGATAATGCCGGCTCCCACTTCAAAATAACATCATACATTTTCGAACGAGTCCCACATGCACACATTTATTCTACTGAATCATAATGCTATTACAATAGTTGGCTTTTAACTCCACAAGGATCCAACTGATCATCAGGCCCCATACTGTTCCTTCAAATTCATCATGAGTTTTACGACCCACTCAGCCCCTGCCACAGTTGAATTCGCCACTGCGATGGACATTGCGTGCGCAAATCCTTGGTAATCAGCTGCAACGAAGTGGTTGCTTCGATGAGGTCCGTAAGACGAGCGATCTCCACAGTCAAACTTCCAGTTGGCGATTTTGTCGTTATGACTGTTGCGACACGCGAGTCTCCCTTCCTCGCTAATGTACATGGTCGTTTTGTCCTGGGCACAAACCCAGTTCAAAATCATATCGTTTCGCCTAAGTAATGAGAGTTTCTTAGGTAACGTATCACTGTCGAGTTATGTAAATCACGGTCACACTTCTACAAGACTCGAGCAAACGGATGGAGCACAACTTATCATTCGAGTTCCGAAATTGCGTAATACTAACAAAATCGATTTTTACTTTGGTTTAATTACTTTCGTTATTTGATCACACTGGAAGTAATGTCATTGACCGTCAATCACTTTAGGCTTAGTCTTTATGTCCATGGGGCCCATTTTGCAGTTTTACGATTTACTCCAAGCATTAAAAAATGGGAAATTAGGTTTTATACTTACGAGTTATTGCATCCAAGCACAGGACAGGGCATCCTTAGAGTAAACCACGTCGGCATTTTGGACTTGGTCGTTCGCTTTTCTTGTTTCACAGTTGTTTGCCTTCCCCTTCCACTGGCGTCCAGCGCTTACTGGTGCAGTTTGCTTTCGGAAGCTTTTCTAAGAAGTCATTTTCATCCAATCACCGAACGAGTTGCTCACATAATATTTTCATTAGCTAGGGACAAACACCTCGAGGGATTTTCACCGAAATTACAAGAGGGGAGTTTTTCGTGTCAGGTGAACAATTATTTATTGGTTATGATATTTCTCGGAATCTGTTGTGGTATATTTAGAGAGTTTGATGAGAAAGATGTTAGAGATGGACCGAGAACTGATCAGATGACTTCCATTAGCTATTTTCAACTCTACAAGTTAATTCCAGGCTAAATATGTGCAGAAGCACTAGTCTCGAATTGCTAAGAGCTTTTGCATCTAGGGATAACATCAATAATCTTTCTGAGAATTGTTTTTTTTTGTCCTTAATTTCGCGTTGGCTTGATTGAAAGAGGAAAATTTCTGGGAATTACCCCTTAAAGCGGGGAAAATGTCTAAGGGGAGTTTACCTTCTTATCTTTCCAGACGCAAAGCGCGGGACTTCCCCGGTTGCAAAATTAAAATGTTTACGATGGTGAAAGATATTTGGTCAGTTGTTTCGGAAAAATTTTAAAATTCAGTCATTTCCGTCGATGTCACTTTTTATCTATCGTAAACATTTAATTTTGCAACCGGGGAAGCCCCGCGCTTTGCTTGTAATTCCCAGAAATTTTCCTCTTTCAATCAAGCCAACGCGAAATTAAGGACAAAAGAAAAACAATTCCTAAAAAAATTGAGGAAGTCGTCTTTTGAATCAAAAGTCTATGAACTTTGCCTCCTTTCTTTGAATAAACGCATAACGTCCATTCCAGATTAGGTTTCAACAAATTCGTCCACTCCTGAATTCCTCATAGTAGTCTGAAAGAAGATAGGGTCATTGTTCTTCTTAGAAATCGACCGGATTTTCCCTTCCGGGGAATTATTTGAACCTTGCAGACAACAGATTCACCATCTGTCATGTAAATCCAAGACTACTTGTGTTACGATTGCTGGAAGAACTGCTAGTTTTGCGGTAAAGTTCTGAAATTTTAATTCAAAGTCAGGGTTCAATCTTTCTTGGAGATTCTTTCCGTCATTCTTCTGAGTGTTGTCTAGTAGTCTTCCACAATTAATTTCTATTTACAATCTATTCTGGGAAAAGCCGGTTCACGTGCAAGAATTTCAGGAGGGATTAAATGTCAGTCTGAAGGAAGAGAGGGAAATGTCCCTTCGCCATAGCTGCTTCAATAAATACATGAATGGTCACGGTGCCGATAGTGCAGAAGCATCCACATCTACTGCCTCAAAACTCACGAGATCCAAGAAATCATGGCACAAAGTAAGTCTCCAGTTACTTCTTAATGTTCATGATATTTACCAAGTCCATTAAGGATACAATACCATTCCCCCTACACATTGGGTGCCAGCATTTAACCCACACATTGCCACATTGTCTTGACTGAAAGGAGCTTGAAATGTTTTACTTGAATTGATAACAGGACCAGGGTTTGTTTCTATATCCCCAGACAGATTGGACTTAAAATGATTTACCCCGTGATTCAGATTTTTATGAACATTTTGTACTGAATTAGACCTCCATGCGTTCGACTGCTCTGGTTTTGGACTTTTTATTACATGTGGATATTGGTTCTGCACGCAGACTGTATTTAATGAAAATGCTTCATCATTGCTATCATTAAGCTTATTATATACAATAACGGATAACTAAGCAGCTTTCTCAAAGACGTTACATTCATCGAAGCTATTCACAGCTTTTGTCGGAGACATCAACAACTTTACGTAGAAATTAGCACACAAGACAATTGCGTAAACAATAGATAACATAATATTATACACAAAAAACGCTAGATTTTGGATCACGTATTTATTTAAAAAGAATATCTACACAACTACAATGAAAACAAACATAAGATTCACCTTTCTGATCGTGAAATTAATACCATTCGTACTGTTATCGTAGCTACCTTCCTTGGCATCAAGTGAATCCAACATGGCGTCTTTCTTCACAAGCAGTTTGCACCATTAGAGTTTTGTTCTTCAGTCTCACGGTAGTAGTGTTGTTCAATAGATTACATAGAGTACAAGTGTTCGTTTTTCAACTAAGACATTGGCACACTTGGCATACAAGGCATATCAGGCTTTCATAGCTTTCAAGGCATACAAGGCTTTCATGGCTTTCAAGCGTTCGCGACTCAGTCCGTTCCAAAAATACCGCTCAATGACATCTTTTAGTGTGGATTGGCCGCGAACAATACGACTTGTGTATGCGTCTGTGAGTATTTTGAGCGTAGTACCTCCATTACCAAAATAACAACCCTAGAACAAATACAAAATGGCTGGTTCGTCATGTGACCCGGCCCTGTCCGTGCATGACAACGTCAATCATCATCAAGATAACTACATGGTCAGTATGCGAACACTTTCACCCTCATTGGATCGGAAAGCATACTCCGACATCCGTAGACCCGCAAAACAGAGTAGAAACGAACACGTGCTTCGTTTTCGCTCATGACTTCGTATTAGCCGTAAGATATTTGCATTTTTTCCGTTGTTTACCTATATTACAGACTCCAAAAAATTTTTGCGATGCCTCCTTTTCACGGATGGCCGATTACAAGTACAACATGGTGACACCTCTACGAAATCTGTCAAAAGGAGGATGTTAAAACGCCATAGGTCATCTCGGGTAGATTTCTGATGACGAAATCCGAGCTCGCCCGATGTTGTCATGAAGGCCCTATTTCGCATTTTAGAGCCGCAAAATAGAGTAGAAAGGAACACTTACTTCGTTTTCGCTCATGACTTTGTATTAGCGTTAAGATATTTGCATTTTTTCCGTTGCTAACCTATATGACAGATTCCACAAAATACATTTGACGCCTCCTTTTCACGGATGGCCGATCACAACTACAACGTAATGACATCTTCACGAAATCTGTCAAAAGGAGGATTTTAAATTATAAATTTAACGCAGTTACGTTCAGAGTTTAAGCGATATATTGTTATTTCTAATATGGTAATTGATAAAAAAATTTTACATTACCACGATTGGACGGAGATCAAGTTTGAATATAATGTAGCAGGCGATATTACTTTTGTCGACAAGGATAATCCGTGACTTGTCTCACCTATTACATTTTCTCTATCTGCGTTGTGCCATGATCATCATTGAAAATATTCTACGATAATATTTTTTTACAATATTTAGATGAGGATTTTCAATTCTAAACTCAAGAGCGTACTTAGGGAAAGATCTACAAGAAACAGATTCTCATGAATACATTTTAAAAATTCTTTTAGCTGACTTCTACATGGATAAAAATTACTACATAGATATACTTCACTTCGACGGTTATCTTAATAAACAATTTACGGGAAGTTCTGAGAATCAGTTTTTTTCAGTTTTGACAGATTTCCTGGAGGTGTTACTATGTTGTATTTGTAATCGGCCATCCGTGAAAAGGAGGCATCGCAGAAATTTTGGTGGAGACTGTAATAAAGGTAAGCAACGAAAAAAAAAAGCAAATATCTTACAGCTAATACGAAGTCATGAGCGAAAACGAAGCACGTGTTCGTTTTTACTCTGTTTTGCGGGTCTAATATGCTAAATAGGGCCTTCATCACGAAGACAACATCGGGCGAGCTCGGATTTCGTAATCGGAAATCTACCCGAGATGACCTCCTTCTGACGGATGTCGGAGTACGCTTTCCCATTGGATCACAGTTGTCATAGTGTTGAGGGCCCAAGGACCACTGGGTACTATTGCGCAAGACGACAGAAAAACAAAGGCGTTTAATGACTGGGCCACCACAGGTATCCCAGTAATGAGAATGGTCATTAGTAATATTTTGAGCGAACTGTGCGTACCTTCGGGATCTTCCTTTCGCACGAACGCCATCGTGCTGGCATTCATACAGCATGCAGTTGTACGAGTGGTGCCACTCACGCAGTAGTGACTCACGTTTTGCTACAATTACATTTCCGGTGCTGAGATTATAAATGGAGAAAAACTGCTTGTAAAGTTACTACTACTACTGAGGTAATATATAATATAATAAGCATGCTCTCACATTTCATTTCGTGCGATGGTTGATTGTACAAGGGATCAGTGAGAGTAAGATTTCAGGGGAGGTGGAGGTTTTGTTCGATTCTCGTTATTCATCTACGTGACATGTTGTCGTCTCGCCTTATTTTAGACATTTATGCCTTGTTTTAGATGGTTTTAGATTGTTTGCGAGTGGCTGTAGCTGTTTTTGAAGTGGCTGTAGGTGGTTTTAGGTGGTTTTAGGTCGTTCCATGTTTTAGTGCTTACGCCGTTGCGTGACGAGCTTACATGACTACTGCGGAAGAGATATCCTTTCTTTTGGCATAGATAAGTTGGCGTAGTAACCTTTTAACCGAACAAAAGCTAAACAAACCGGCCGGGAGCAACGTCAGTGTCAGTTGCTTTGTAATCATCTTGTTCATGCACTCTATCTACGTATCGGCGTTCGAGGTTTCTTCGGCTGAATCAATATCTAGCGGATAAGTCACAATTGCGTAGGTTCTTTCAAATTCTGCTGTAAATATTTGTTTTCATGTTGACACCATTCTCTTGCAGTTGTTTTGATTACTCGTATCGAGATAAAATGGCAGTTTCCACCAGAATTTGATTGGTTCATTTCATTTAATCAGCAAACAAATCATATCTTTCATTTGAAAAGTGTTACTCAGACTTGATAGCGTCTTTTGTGTTCCCAGGAAATGAATTTTCTTTGTCGCGTTCATCCTGCTATACCGTTTTTATTCGATTAAACGCCGCATTTTAGAGCAGAAATATTAATAAACGCCGCAGCACGATGCGGCGTTTATTCAAATAATAGACTAAAAAGGCACACAGCAATCATTGCTTCGATCGCAGTTGGACATTTTGAGTGAACCAGAAACGAATTTTTCTCTGATGTACCAGTTCTGATGTCGAGAAAGCATATCCGACATTAGATCTTTATTCACTTTATGTACTGCAGTAGTAATGACATGCAGTGGTAATAACAATCGTGAGAACAATACAAAACATAGGCATGCGTAGCATGCAAGAGTTATTTTTTCGGCTGGGTAGGTTGAGATGGGACAGCTTGTGTACTTAATGATTTCATTTTTCTCACAAAAAAGAGCATAACTCTCAGAATACGAAAATATCGCAGATAGACGGAAAAAAACCTATTTTATCTGAACTCACACAGATATTATGTGATCTATTGTCAAAATACTTCCAAGTTAAAATGAAATGCATCGGTGTCACGCTTACTGTTGTCTCCTTCTTAGCAGTTGTTTGGTCTCGTCACAAAACGCCCTCCATTTCCTGTTTGAGGGATAGCGCGTTGCGTGACGAGACCAAATACTAGTTGCGATTGCCAGTCCTCCAACAGAGCGAAAATCAAAATTATTCGTCTACAGTTAGTTACCTCGAAAATATAATTCCGCGTAATTTTACTACGAAAAGTAAACTGAAACTTTGTTGTACCTCTGATAGACCCAAACCAAAGATACATTGCGATCTCGAATAGGTGAAGATACACTGAACAAGAGGAAAGGATAATATTTCAAAGAGGGCTCCTTGATTGGTTGTTGCCTATCTTGACTTTGCCCTCTGTGTGTGAAATACGTGATAACATGCAGGTTGTTTCACAAGGAATTAACACGCAATTGAGTCAAGTCTTAGGTAGCTTGAAGTGACTTTAAATCGTAGAAAAAGTCAAACGCGGGATGATTGCGTGGAAAAATCAATATCAATAGCATTTAGTTCCATGTAAATTTTCAGTGGGGTTCGACAATGCAGTTAGGATATGTGATAAAATGCAGGTTGTTTACAAGAAAATGACACGTGATAGAGCGAAGTCCAATGTGGCAAAATGGAATTTGATGGGTGGAATACAATTCAAGCACGTGAAAAATTGTCTAATGTTTATGTAGTGCAATGATTGTGTATGTTCTGATTGGACTTTGGACGTTGTTCTCATGGTACGTGATGAAACTACGGTAAGTTGTTTGGCGTGTGCGATGCGAGTAAAGGAGCGGAAAAACATGTTTTGAGTTAAAAATCTAAATTGTATCTTTCATATCCCGATAAATCTCGACCTTAATCGACAAGGCTCTAGCGAAGGCCACAAGCCATGACACGTAACCAATGAGCCACAAATCTCTGATCAGGGTTCGAAATTTAAAAAATTATCGATCGCAATTTGCGAATAATTCCTAAAATTTAGTCGCAAGTTCGAAAATTTTAGTCGCAAAATTAAACAACCTAAACAAAATAGTATATGGATTTAGCCAAGCCTAAAAGCGGAGCTCGCATTTTTTTTCCCGCACGTCCAAGGGTACAACGCCTTGCCCCGGCCAGGACTCCTCAACGGAGCCCAGTGCACTGCCCACTGGACTACTGGACAAAGCCGTGGCGTTGGCGTGCCAGCGGTACAGTTGACCACGCATGTTTAAAGTAGCACCTTGTACGGTCGTACATCCAAATTTTTTCGGCTTGATGGGTTACTACTATTTTGTATAATTATGGGGTTACGCTCTGTGAGCTCCGCTATAATACAAGTAATTAGACAGTTATTGACAGGTTAACATCATTTAATTTTATTACTCCAACAGCTTCTGTGAATTACCATTGAAAGGAGGGTAAACATTTATTTGTTGAATAAACAAATGAAATCTTCTGAATCGTTCACAGTTCAACAGGAACATAAGTTACAATATTCAGTACCGGTGTCCTAGCGGATTTGGACCCCCCAACAGAACTGAGTGAAAACATCATCCTTAACGTTCTCGTAGAAATAGATAATACTTTTCGTTTCAGTGCGTACTAAAGTATGTTTTTAATTCAAAATATGCGTATCGCCGATGCATACGAACTGGCAGCTAGAAATGACCCGTCGGATGTTTCTTTTGACCAAGGGAAAATGTGCAAGCATTTAGTTCAATGTTCGGAAAAAGGTCGTTTTGAACCTTTTCCGCGATAGTCGAACACCGCTAGAGTCAGTAAGAGACAAACTTATGACACTAATTTATTTTGTTATTGTTCAATGCCCAAGTGTTGAGACGACATGGTACAGTGCGAGTTTGTTATTTCAGATCCCTCAACAGTTGATCATCGTTAAAATTAGAAAATAAGATTGAGTTCGATGAAATAGTCTCCCCTTTTTTTAAGATGTAAACATTAATGTTGATTTGCATCTGAAAATAAGCTGAGAGTTCCAATAGTTCAGAATAGGAACATTTTTTCTTATCATAGGCTTTACGAACGACTTGTAGTAAGAGTTGTTACTTCGTTCTTGTTCAGAAACTGTTAATGTTATTTAATTAGAAAATCAGATTGAGTTATTTTTGTGACTGGACACAATAGTCACCGCTATTGTTATGACGTTTCGTATCAATATTGATTCGCATCAGAAGAAGCAAAGATTTATTGTTACGAATGCAGTAGTTTGCTCGCATCTTATTCTTGCGTATACTGTACGACTCGCTATAATAAATGCGGCAGGATTGGAACGAAATGGCTGTTTTTCTTTATCTTTATTGAGGAATGTTGTGTTGTAATTGAAAAGAACATCGACAAAAAGCTTGCAAATAGAATTAGTTGCCAAATATGATACAAACGATGCTTAAAAGGAAAGTTTGGTAGGGGGTTCCAAATCTGCAAAGGGGAGTCCAAATCCGCTATGACACCGGAAACACTGTAGTCTCTAAAATATAACATCCACGAGTGCCTTCCGCAGCTTAATAACATCGTACTAACTTTTGTTTAAAAAAAAAGATAAGAATATAATTCAGTAGTTACAGAATCAGAACATTTTAAAACTACATGATGCTTTACCGAGCAACATACCACTCTATACGCTAACATAGAGTTTTTTTTTAAAAAAAAATAACTCTTAAATGACGTTTAGACAAGCAATAAAACAAGTTGCTGTTTTTTAAAATTAAAATGGTCAGCTACTATACTATTGTTTGCAAGATATAAATTGGATTTTAAATAAACGCCGCCCTCGTATAAACGCCGTCCTCGAATAAACACCGCACTCGAATCACGAAAAATTTAATAAACGTCGCGGCGTTTAATCGAATAATACGGTAATCACCTCGCGCGAGGTGATTATGTATATGTTATTCGCTGGCTGGAAGGTCCGTATGGTATAAAACTGTGACCGAGGTACGGCCAAGGGCAGCATTTTCAAGACCGAGGTCACAGTATTTCACCATACGGTCCGACCCTTAGTCGGTAAATAACATATTTATTTTTTTTAAACTCGACGAAATTCTTTCTGAAAGAACCCGAATGATTTAGGGCTGTAAATACGGCAAGATCTTCCATGAACTGAACAATTTTTGAGTGAGTAAATGGTGGTTAAAATGGAGGTGATGCAAATTCAAGAGAGATGTCTCAGCGAAACATTTCCATTTCCGTAAGCTTTAAAAGGCTTCCAAACAAACTTTGAAACATTATTTTTACAAGTATCTGTCACAATCTGACACCTGTCGAGCGCGTAACAAAAAATGTGTAAGAACATTTGAAAAACAAAATAAAAAATGAAAACGGAACACCGTTGATCCTAACCGCAGGTAACCCAAGTATAAAAAGATGGTTTTCCACCCTTTTTGGCGGGATTGGAATTGAGAATTTCTCTGCCTGTCCCTGATTAACACAGCCTGACTTAACAAAGCAACTGAAGAGATTCTTTAAGAATCGAAACCGCCGGTCCTGCTAGACGATATACTTCACTTTCAGTTTTACCTTTTACCAGTTTTGATAATGTTTTCTTCAAAAACGGTCAATGATCTAATGGAAAGTATTATTCACTCTCATCGACGATTCATTCATGTACGAAGATTTACCTCTGTTCATTAAGTAAACGGCGAGGAAAGTAATTGTGAGTACATTCAAATTTGTTATTTTGAAGTTGTGAGAGTTTGCTCGTTTGTTTGCTGCAATGGCGTGTGTAAATCTGGTCTTTCCTTCACAAAAACTAAATTCGAATGGCACACTCCAACAAGACACAAGGGGATTTAATGCGGCCTTTTCTCAAAAATTTCCTTCAGTTTCTTTGGGCAATTTACGGTACAAATGTCCAAATTGAACGGGACTTGGAAAGACTCACCGAGAGCGTACATTTGTTGTAGAACTTAAATGAAAACTTCGCTCGCTCTTTCCCTACGAACAAATTGGTTGAGAAAATTCAGGTATTAAATGAATGAAAGTTCCATCGTTCAGTTTAACTGTAACGAAATACCTCACGTTTTAACTTTCTAGGTACTTTTTGTGGACGATTAAAATTAACTGCAGAAGGTTTTTAGGCCGCTTGTCAACTAACGTAATGACACTATTGTTTATATAAATTCATTCTGAAACCAATATTTTTCTGTCAACCAAAGTGGTTTGAGAGAGAGAAAAGAGAGGATTCATAAGTTATTTATCGGCTTGAGGTAGTGACCGACTTGTTTGCTTAAAAATACTGCCTAGCCGGAAAAACGAGATATATTTATGAAGAATGGCAACGAAATTTGGGATATACTCGGCGATTCACGAAAGCGTTACCGTGGCCCGTGGGCAGAGATAGGAAAATACTGACTGGGTAAAGAACCAATCAGATTGCAGGATTCGTTACCGTGCCCTCTTAAAAAAAAATAAAGTGAGATATGATGCAACCCTCGACCGATCAGAGCGTGCGCATCTCTATTATCACCGGATCAATCATAGTAAAGTTCGTAACTGTGCTAAAAACACAGTACGATTTCTTTACCGGCTCTCGAAGTAAACAAGTTGTTCTTGGTTTTTAGTATATCGAATCTTTTTCGCTATATAATAAATCCTGTATCGGCCAACTTTGTCCGGTCAAGACGGCTGGTCATTGGCCTCGTTCTTTCTTTTTTTTTTTCGCGTTTTTATGGACTTCAACTTCGTCTCGGTCCATATAATTACAAAAAATAGCTAGGCCAATAACCAGCCATAATGCTTAGTTAATAACGCATTTAAACATTATTATCTCTTTGTAATCTCTTGCGCATATTTATTATATCGTTGGCAGCGCCCTTAGACAATATGAGGCGAATCCTGTGTTCTGATTGGCTCCCTGACACGGGTCTGCAGAACTTTCTCTAATTCTTCCAATCTTCTTCCAAAGAGTGTATAAACACGTTAGAACATGTGTTTCGAATGATAAAGATTGGAGAGCACTCAAAAAGCTAGAGCATCTCTTACACTTCTCTCGTGCTCTCCAAGGTGACCGCGCGCATCTATAACTCGATAGACACACACTAAGCACGAACCAATTCTTTGTTATGTGAAAAACATGCTCTATTCAAAACATTAACCCATTACAACCCATTGGGTTATCAACAGAGACACATAATTGAAAAGTGGCAGTAAAGATATCATTTTGCCAGGTTACTTATCATCAGGGGCAACAAATCTTCATATAATTAGATGCTAGCTGACATTTTTCCAAAGTACTCTGGATATTTTACTCCTGGGATTCTGCCATATTGAAAAATTAACAAGTCGCTATTCATCTATAACATAAAGAATTGAACCATTGTTTTTCAAGGTAGCAATTGCTCCAAACGGTTAGATAATTCCTCAGGGCAGACGGAAAAACCCAAACGTAGACGTGAGGAACCTCAAGGACAAGAAAATTCGGTACATAAAAAAGAAACAATTCCTTCTGGAGGAATTTACCAGGAAGTTTCTCCACAACAAGGTCACAATGGTTACAATGATCATCTGCAAAATAGTTACAATGAGCAATGTCAGCACGGAGGTAACTCTGCGGGATGTCCTCCCACAGGCAAGACCTGTTACCAAGAAAGTAATCCCACTAATCATTTCATCGAAAGCCAGCCCGTGGGATGTAACCAGGACGTAAATTACCCGAGATATGGCTGCAGGGATAATCAGCAGAAAATGCCGGTTCAGGCCACGCAACAGATTCAGTTAATACGCCCATTGCAAGGTAACTAACAAACTGAATGTTACAATAGTCATTGTTATATTAGGCAATCGCTTAATGATTTAAGAATTACCTATAACGTACTTTTGAACTTGTCTCGGAATAAAGTGTGTTCATATACCGTGTATTCTTGTTTTGAGAATAACCCACTTTGAAACACTGAGCCTCGATTGAATTGATTTCCCGCGTTACCTTGCGCCAAAGAGCTTCTTTTTTATGTTGTCTTCTCCGAGTATTCGCTCGTAAAACCAGTCAAAGTTAAATTTGCAGCACTGTTGTGAAAATTTTCAGAAAGCTCAAAGGCGTATTACTTAAAAAAATTGAAAACGAATTTACTGTCTTTGATGACTCAAAGATATGGATAAAAATTGAAGTTTTGTCCTAGATTGTAAACTTGAGAAATGTGGCTGTAATAAAAAAAGGGAAATGAGCAAAATAAGATACATTGCAGTCACAGAGAACGCAGAGAGACCTCATTAGAAATGACAAAGAAATTCATCATTGCAACAGGGGATAAAACCAATCTTTATAGGGCACATTTTAAATGACTGAGGCAACTGTGAGAGCTCTCAGCCATGGAAAGCAGTTTCACACGTATTTGGTCTTGCCTTTGAATCGCTCGATTTAACTGAATGTCTCTCAAGGAAGCCGTATGTCAGGTGATCGGGCAATGCATGCAGAAGTGTACCACTCCAACAGTCTCTTTGAAGGGTTGCCCCCTGCGTTAGTTTTTGTTGTAACAGTTTTCAAACTGGCGGAACCATTCAATGACTTAATTTATTCCCTTGATCCTCAGCAAGCGCACAGATGTTGTATGACGGTTATGAAAACACCATGGGTATGATTGAGGAACTGGAGAAACACGAAGGGCACAATATGTCTGCTGGTTATTCGGGATTATTGAGTTACATTATTCCGAAGGGAGTAAAGAAACCCATAGAAGATGTGAGTTAGTCAGAAAACCTCTCTTGGGCGTCATGCTAGGGTAGCATTCTTAGCTGTTTTAAGGTTGCAGTGACCACGTTCAATTTTTTAATTGCGGCTTACTATCTTCTCGGTTATGAATTTATTAATACTATTTTTTCTAAACTAGTCGAGTGTTTTTATTTCCCATTTGAATTACCTCTGTACTATCCACCTGTTGCAATTACATATTACGTACCTGTGTTCTTATGTTTGTGCTGTTAGCTATTGGTTGACCAATATATTCCATACATGACAGCATGTACAGGCTAATTTTCGTAATTTACAAAATAAACATCAAAAAAGGCAATCTTTACCGAGATTCAGCCGTCGCGAAAGGATACATTAACCTTTTGATCGAAACGGAATCCGTCACTTCGCTCCTTGGTTAGATCGCTCCAAGTCAGTTCGCTCCAACCAAACCAAAAGTTAGATCGCTCCACAATAAAAGTTACGCATTTCAATATTGTACACAGACGAAGATTCCTTTTTAAAAAATGAAGATCGAACTTTTTTCATTCTCTATTTTTCTGTGAAACTCGGCTTTGTTTTTCAGGTCACGGCCATAATAGAGGCCCAGCTTACTTGCCTTGATGGTCAAATGACTTTTGCTCCACCTGAGGTAACAAGGGCAGCCAGAATGAAGTTGTTGGAGAAAACACTGAAATGGGTGGCAGCCAGAGAAGAAGCGATAATTCAACCAGGTTTCGCCGATTGCTACGCAAAGAACGTAGTACAAGTCCTGATAAAACCAGACTCGTTGAAGTTTCCAGAGAGGGAACGAGATCCAAGAGCTGCTAGGTAAGCGTTAACTTTTAAGCGTGTGCCGCACTCCTTGGTAGTTGAGACGACATAGAGAACAAGCCAGATAAAATTGGTGGCCTTGAAAACAGTGACTTCTCCTCCACGTCACTGATTCCCCGTTCGCTCCACTGTTTCAACCGTTCCCCTTGTGAGCGTGGGAAAGATTATGCCTGAGGCCCTTTCCTCAATTTTGGGAAAGTTTATTTAGCAAAGAACAATTACTTAACTTTTTTTTTAATTATTGTATCCCGTATAGTTTAGACGAACGTACAGTAAACGAACTCATGTTCGCCTTTGCCCAAGCCCAACACAAAGGAGATCTACAAGATAAAGAGTTTGAAGCCAACCCTGATAAGAAAGCCTCCTTGCGCAAAATGAGAGAGGGAGAGGACCTCCACAGTGGTAAGTTGTATTATTTTATGACACAACCTCCATTTGGCGCGAAAATTAATAAACGATAGCCTCCATTTGGTGCGAAAGTGTGCTCGGATATTTGTTCGCGAGCATTATCGGCTCCGAGAAGCGGACAGTTTTCCTGGCGCGTAGGAATGGAAAATGCTCATTGTCACTGTAAGGTCTGAATATTGGAAAACCCGTCTTTTTCCTTCATGAATTTAATTTTTTTTCTCTCTTGATCTGCTTTAGGAGCAACACGCTTGGTGAAGTTAGATCCCAAAGATGGAGAATTCTACCAAGTTCTTGCTGCATCTCTCCAGCATCTTGATGCGTATGCCAAGGGTGATTTACGCTAAACACTTTTTTTGCGTTTGTCTTTAAAGCGTAACAGGAGCTCCTCGGGAACTGGAGATTACAGAAATTTATTTTCTTTCACATTAATTTTTGAGACAAGATTTCCGTATTAGATTTTGAATAATGGATATGGGACTGTTCATTTTTTCCCCTCAATTTGTAGCGTATTTAGTTTTCTGTTTTTAGCTCCTTGCGCTGTTCCACGGGTAACCGGTAGACTTGTTTATGATTTCAGCCGGCGATGTATGCTTCTTTTCTTTTTTCTCCTTTTGAGGATGCTGAATAAAACTGATAACCTAGAATTGTTCATGTGTGTGACTTTACCTTCAGCTGCTGTTAAACTCATCCTTTCGAACCTTTGCGTAGTATTCATATGGCTTGTACAGTTGAACCTCTATCAGGGGCTCCGTATAAGGCGGTCACCCTGTACAGAACGGTTGGTTCTCAAAGTCCCGAAGCTTTTTCACCTCTATAAATTCCTCTAACAAGTGGTCGTTGTAATACTTGACTGAGTCCCAACGATCTGTTTGTTTCGTCACCACCTACAATGAGAACTCAGTTAAAGTGGAACCACACAAATAAAACTAAGAATGATGCCTCAAAAAAATATTTTTTCCATGTTATTTCCCGTAATCAATATTAATACTTTAGTTCAAATGTCCTCAATTAACGCTTTGCATGTGGAATTGTTCTGTTTAACGGCCACCAGGAACTTTCCTTAGCGATAAGCAAAGTCGAACGCTTGATATATGAAAGCCAACTACGGAAACCGATAAAAAAGACAAACGCTAATTTCCAATGACACATCTTCTCTGGACTGTAAGAAAAAACATCACGCACGAACATCACGCAAGTCATTTGCAAGTTTATGACCTGAAGTTCCCAACGTCAGATAACCATACAATACGTACAGTAATTCTGCTTTATTGTCCTGTTTTAACGAAACGACCTCATTTTGTTGCTGCTATTTATTACGAAGAGTTACTGTATTTTTTATCAAGGTTTTGCACACACTGTATATCAAATGATCACTCGTGGCATAAAATTGCGATTTTTATCGTGTTTGACCTCTGTATTAAGCAGTCACTCCGCCATTATTAACACCAAATTTTGACGTCTCCTGTGATCCATATCTAAACAGATCCACGGCAACATGGAATCTATTCGTTTTAGATTATAAAAACCAAAAGGTCTTAAATGGGGACATCATTTTTGTAGGAAAGCACTTCGTAACATTGCTTCAAACCATATGAGCCCCCTGATATTCCAGCGGTTAGGGTTAGGGTTTGGGCAATGATGCATGTCTGATTGATCATACTAAGGACCAATCAAAATGCGAGTAACTTTAGTTCCTAGAGCAGGTTCCTAAAGGGTCTTCGAATCGTACACAACTTCTGAGAGACTGGTGATGAGAGCAGCGCGAGGGCTGCATTATGGGATTTTTCTTCCCTTTTCGTCCTCTTGCTCGGTTTCCACCATCTTTGTTCACGTGGTTGGAAGGTCAGTGCAATAATGTGTTGATTTTGAACGTTTCCACCATTCTGTTTCAACTGATATTAACTAACGGTAACTTTAAATTATAGAGGACCGTGAAAATGGTAAATACAACTGGAATTAGGCGCGGTACGCGCTACATGTTCTCGCGGGATTTTAGGAAACGTGGTAAGTTTTTTAAGAAGAAAGCACTTTTAATTGTATTATTAGGAATTTCTCGTTTATTATCGGATTGTTTTACCAACTTACTGCCTTGAGGACACATTTGAGTCATGTTCGAAGCCTCGCGAATCCATACATTTGACGAATTCGATATTCTCTGAAGAATTCATATTTAGATAAAGTTACGTATGTTTCCTTTGAAGTTTCAGTCCAGTTTGTTAATTAGCGTGCGTTTGTATGAGTAAAAGTACCTGATTTGACTGTTCAAATGGACATTAACAGAATTGGATTCTAGTTGTATGAGTCGATCGAAAGGCGACTCGGCAGTCGACTTACAGATTTGCCTTTCCTATATTTTTTAGCCGATGACTTCCAACTTTTGTTTTCGAGAGTTATTTTTCAATTCTGTGTTGTAGACTTAAAGCAATAGGGTAACCATATCCTATAAAGTCTGTTGAAATTAATAAATTCTTATACATACACCGTTAGGAGTATCTCATTTGCAGAAATTATTTGCAGTCAGCCACTGATGCTTCATCAGTATTTTTTATTATGCCAAGGGTGAGGGAACATTTGTTAATGATAGGCAATCGTTGAAGTTTACTCTCACATGAGAAGGTAAAATTTTGGAATCAGGCAACATATAAATGAATCATTGAAGAACAATTTTTAAGTTCAATGTTTTCTTTTTTTCAGGTGTCATTCATCTCTCCACCTACTTAAAAAGCTACAAAGTTGGTGACATTGTAGACATCAAGGTATGATATAACAAAAATTAATGCAAGGTGCACTTTGTGTATGGCAAGGTGTTTTTTGTATTCTTATCTTCTTGAATGGTTTTTGGGATTTCCAACTCATTAACCCTTTAACTCCCAGAAGTGATTAACAAGTAACTTCTCCCTACAATACTCGTGCACTTTCCAGCAAACAGGTAATGAGACTACTCAAATGTATCAGGTAGAAGTTGTTATCTGGATCTAACACCAAATTCTCATAAGTTATTTACAAGGAAATGTGTAACAGCTAGAGGGGAGAATTAACAATTGGATATTGGGAGTTAAAGGGTTAAAGCATTGACCCTTATTAGTGACTAGAATCTAATTTCTTGTAATAAGTCACCCTTTATTCAAAACTTTTGGTCACAGTAATAAAAGAAATAATCACCAACTGAGGAAGCTCTTGGTCATTAAACAAATCCTCCTCATCAGCACCTTAGGAAATGTTAAGAGAGCAGTGTGGAGAATATGCATACTGATGTAGGAGTGTTGAGGGTTATTAAGCCTGCTGTTTATATTTCTATTCAAGGTTAATGGTGCTGTTCATAAAGGCATGCCATACAAGGTCTATCATGGAAAAACAGGGCGTATTTTTAATGTCACAAAGCGTGCTGTTGGAGTAGTTGTCAACAAGCAAGTGAAGTAAGTGAACTTTAACACTGAAGCCAAGTGAGTTTCCTAGAGTTCTTTCAGAAATGATACACAGCCTTATTCATTTTCCTTTTCAGACAGAAGGCTGCAAGATGTTGTCTTTTCCTTAAAAAAATAATAATTTTATCATTCATTGAAGCCTTAGTTTTTTTTTGTTCACTTGCAGTCCTTGTGCTAGCAGTACTTGTGCTTGGCTGGCAGTTTTATTTGTTATTTAAAGTACAGCATCACTTGCTCTTTAAACATTTCGAACCTTTATGATTATTATCTGCAATAGTTTGTACTAATAAAAATGTTAAGTTCTGATATATAGGTAAATAACTTGAAAATTAGTTTTTCAAGCCTTTCAGTTTGCTTTTGTGTAACAATCCTCTTCTCAGATCACAGTTTTGGGCAAAGTGTTGTGCAAGCATTTAAGAGAGATCAGAGCTTAACTAAAACTTGATAATATCGTTGTTTATGTGTATTGTTTCTCTCTTCTATCAGAGGAAAAATCTTGCCAAAGAGAATCAACATTCGTGTTGAACACATCAAGCACTCCAAATGTCGAGATGACTTCTTGAGGTAACAATAAAATTTCTGTACTGCACATATATATATTGCAATAATCAATATTCTAGAGATTGTAATAGAATACTGAACACCCTACTGGCTTATTGAATCACATTTTGATATTAATTTACAGGTGCGAAGAAGAAATACAAGGCAAACATAAGAATTTGCCTTATTTTTTATAGCTATTTTAACAGTGGTTGTTGTGTTCTTCAGGCGTGTGAAGGAAAATGAACAGAAGAAGAAGGAGGCCAAAGAAAGTGGGGGAGGAAAGGTTGATTGCAAAAGAAAGGTAATTTATAAAGTTGTTTCCAGCTTTGGGGTAGGGATGTATACTAGATTACAAATTATGTGTACATATCTGTAGAGGTGAAGGGTTATTTAAAGTCTGTACTTGAATCAAGAGGCCCATCCAGCTGAAGCTCATCCTGGATTTTATTATGAAGCAAATGGAAATATTACCATTCCCCCATGGATGGGAGGCCAGTTGATGGCAAGGTTACCCCCCAGTATTTCATCAGGCTTCCCTGGCAATTTGTTGGTACCCATTTATGCTCCTGAATGGAGAATGGAACTGTGAAAGTGTAGAGTTTTGTCCAAGAACACAACACACTGAGTCAGCCAGATCTTGAACCCCTTCCCTTGCACCCAAAACCCAGCACAACCATTAGGCCACAGCATCTCCCATCATTTCTCAAGAGAGCATGGAATTTAGATGCGATGTGACTCTGAACTCTAACAGGTATAGAAGGAATTTTTCCTCTTTATCAACAATGATCATAATATTTTGTTTTCTATCTGTTACAGCCAGCTGTACCCCGAACTGCACACTTTGTGCGAACCAAGAGAAACACACCAGAAACCTTGGAGCCAATCCCATACGAGTTTGTTGTATGAAAAAATCTGAAATAAACTTTTAAATCCACATTCAAGTGCTGTTGCTTTCTCTTTGAGTACCATTTGTGAGTTGATTTAACCCCAATTTATCTGTGATAGTGGTTTTCAATCAAAAGTATAAAAAAAACTTCATCAGTTGTGTTCAAAGCAAAGAGGCTTGGGACGGCAGCAATGGAGGTCACCAGCATAACTCTGTTACAGCCCACCTCTGATTATTGTCAACACTTTAACAACAAACTGGTGCAAAGAATAAATACATACCCAAAATTTGGCATGGAGAGAGGGAGGGTAATGATGCAAGCAAAGTAGTAAGGTAAAACAACAATCTAATTTTGTCCCTCTGCCAGAGATTCTTTCCTCTGTCTCAATCTTTACCCTTTAATGCCCAGATCTCATCAGCAATTCTCCTTACTGTCTACTATACAGTTCTTGTGATGTTAATTTGGAGAATTTGGTGATGGATCAACTTGTAATCCCCTAACTGAAATTTTTCTTTATTCTCATCACTTGTCTGCTTGATATTGTAAGGAGAAGTTCTTTCTTGGTCACTGATGGAAGTTCCCTTAAAAAGGCTGATTGAGCTGCATCAGGGGTCTGACATATAAGAAATGGCAAAAACTTATAGAAAAAGTGTTATCTATACATCTCAATAAATGGCGAGAATTTGTTTAACAATCGAGCTGCATTAGATTGATCATTTCCTTAATCTTTGATTCAGGGTTGATTATGTAAGGAGAAATTAGACACTAGTTACTCTTAAGGACAAAAAGTTGAATATCATTGAGGTGACCATTTGGTAAGTTGAAGATTCAATTTAACATTTTATTGCCTTTTTAAGGTTCACAATGTATGACATGTCAGCGGTCATTGGATACAGTTATCATCAAACTTGACATTTTAATTCCAGTTATCATCAAACTGTTGACATTTTACACACATTGGACCAGGCATCTTCAATATATCTAGTCCCGAAAGACCTAAAATTAGCATTCTGAAAAAGTGTAGTAAAAGTTCGATTGTTTGGTAGTGCTTTTCATGGATGAACGTGCACGATTCAATACAACATATTTATGCTAATTTAATGTTACACTTTGCCACAAACTTCATTTTTTATTTCTCCTTGACAATGGCGTCATGATGACACCGAAACGTCGGTTTTTATCGTTAGTTTTTGCTAGTCTTTGCATTTCTAAATCTAGTAAAATTACCAAAAAAATAGTGTATGGATCTCACTTCATACAACCTTGGACAATTTCTTCATTTCAATGCCACAGTTTGCCTTATTCAAACTTCATATCTCAATGTTCTTAGTTTCCTCTCAGGTTAGAAACTGTTGAATTAGAAGGGCAACATTCTATCAAATGTTTTATCTCTCAATTTTAAGAAGTCATTTACAAGAACAAGAAGTGCAAATTATTTAGAGACAGGAAGTATTGGGTGCAATCATTCAACTAATCACTTCTTTTTGCCAGCCTTAACAAACTCCTTGTTCAGTGATTGAACAAATTCTGTGTAGTTTTCCAGTGTTGATCCACACACCTCATTAGCAAAGAGCTCATTCTTTGATAACATAACATCATCAAGGCTTCTGTTGCTTAAAACTTCTGGTTTTTCTGCTTTTACAAACTCAACTCTCTCTTTAAGATGAGCGATGGGTTTCAAAAGACATGATGGATGTTTAATGACATCTTCAACTTTCACTCCAACTGACAATAGATATTCCAGTTTCTCATCCAATTCCTCTTTCTCAAGGAAAAAGAAGTTTTTTGCTGTCATGACATGAGCAATCTCTTTGTTCTTGATACCTCTATCCTGAAACCATTTGATAACAGCCTCCACAGTAGAATTTTTGCTGTCAAACAAAAACTGTCTTGTTTTGACAAGACTGTAAAGTACTGTTGGGTTTTGGACAATATCACAAAGCAGCTGAATCCTATTTTTCACAGAGTCCAAATTTACAAATATTTCTGGCTTTGTAATCAGAAGGTGCTGCACTGCCTCCATATCTAGCAAAAGGGGCTTGCTCCTCAAAAATGCCACTGAAGTACTCAAAGTATCAACATCAGTAGAAAAGATTACTGGGTTTGTGACTGCAATGATAAGTGGGGATACCTCCATTTCTTCAAGAAAACTTATGACTTCTTTGAAATTTTCCTGCAAATCGACCTGCTCTTTAAATTTCTCAGCAGAGTGAAGGATTAAGTTTAGGACTGCCTCCTCTTCCTTAAGGCTTTTGCCTGTCAATTCTGATTGTAACTTCTTATGCGAATTAAGCAAAAGAGAAACAATCTCTAAAGACTCCTCTCTAAGCGGGAAGCTGAGAAGCAGAGGATTATTTGAAATGATTTTCCCAATTATATTTTTTGCGATCCCAGCTGATGTAAGTTTGCGGATATTTTCTTGAACTCTGCTCTGATCAAGGCTGAAGACATATGGTGTTTTAAACATTAAGGTGACGATATCACAGTTCAAATCTTTGAGCACTTTCAGCATCTCAATAAAGTTGGGTGAATCCCACGAAAGGATGGCAGGAAACTCCAGAGCAATTATCAAGGCATCCCTTCCAGTGATCCCTATCTGGGAGAGGAAATTCAATCTCTCTTCAAGAAGCTTTGGTGTCAGGCCAAGAATCCGAGGTGATTCGGATAACAAAGCAGAAGAACAATTTAGCTTATTGTATGCTTTGAGGTATTTTGTTAGAAGATACGACCATCTTTTCGAAATGGAACCTTTACCGCGCCCTAAAGTTGTTTCCAGTTTCTTCACGTATCGGTATAAGTTCAAGGCTTCATGAGGTGGTATTTCTTGTTGACCCTTTGGCGTCTTTTGTTGAGTTTTTGCCTTCCAGTGACGAGGAAACTTTAGATCATCTTTCTTGGAAGACTTTTGGCTACGATCATCGACGATCAAACCTTTCTCCTCTTTCCAGCTGACAGCAGATCCAAGATCTGGAGTTGTGAAGTAGCGATCAGTACGGAAAGCAAGGCGATAGATTCCTTTTAGCCTAAATAAAGTGTAAGAAAAACATTCTCTACATGAAAACCACGCGATCGCCATATTGAGTTCAGATGGCACACGTGGGGGAAAGAGGGACTGGACATGATAGGAATTCTTGTGTTCATGATAGGAATTTTGGTGTTGTCCTACATAACCAAATAGAAGAGTATTGCACCATTTTCAATATGGCGGAGCCTGCTAAAGAAACATTTTGCTGATTTTGTTCAGTTTAAACAATCTCTACCGAAATAAATAAATAATTTCGCTACATAGCGAATAAATTTTCAAATTCTTAAAAAAGTAGATGTTCAATGGGTAGATTTTCGCTGTAAAATTATTTTCAAGATTTTACCGGAAGTGAAGAAATCGTGCGCGCGCATTTCAACCCTCACGTGGTGGCTGTAATTCAATTTTTCGGCCAAAAATTTAAGAGGTTCGGGATTTTTGGCTCCACAGTAAATTATTACTTATGTCTCTACGGGGACTACAAAATCAACAAACGCAAGACAAACTTACTCGGATTGCTATAGTAAGTAATGATAAGTGTAAACCAAAGCGATGTCAGCAACAATGCAAGAAATCTTGTCCTGTGGTCAGAATGGGTACGTATGTAAAATCGTGTTTCGAATGATCGGCGGATATGTTTTTTGTGAGTGTTGTGCTTCTGAATCGTTACTCAACACACAGCCCTAATGAACCTTTTGCCAACAGGAAAACTGTGTATAGAAGTATCCCCAGCGTCGAAGATTGCTCACATTTCTGAGACACTCTGTATAGGATGTGGTATCTGCGCCAAGGTAAAAACATTTCAGAAGGAAAACACTAAACACTTTTAAAAGAGAGGAGTTTTTAGCGTATAGATACTTAGAACAAATTTTTTAATAACTCCATTAAAATGTGGTGTTAAACGGAAGACAGACGATGTAAACAGATTTTTTTGTTTTTTTGTTTTTTTTTGTTTCAGAAAGTCAAAGTTTCTGGCAGTGTATTTTAGCTGATTTCTGTTTTTCTTTTTATTATGAAACTGAAGTTGAAACAGATTAGTTTTTTCTAAGATTTTTCTTCTGGAAATTTAACTTAAGGTGGCAATCACATGGATCCCCTTAATTAATTTCTGGTACAAGTTGCTTGTATCACTAATAGAAGGAAAATTTGAGAAGGGGGAGTGTGATACTATGCCATATTTTGGGTGGTTTTGAAAGCCATGGGTCTTTAAACTCAACTCTTAAAAAAGTTATTACTTGCGTGTTCAAACTGTGCACCAAAATTTAAAACTCTGCAAATCATTAATAAGAAAACCTAATTTTTTGTCTTGTAGAAATGTCCATTTGAAGCTCTTACCATCATCAATCTGCCAAGCAATCTTGAAAAGGAAACCACACATAGATACAGCGCCAACTCTTTCAAACTGCACAGGTAAGTGTTGAAATATTGTCTCATAGAGAAAGCAAAATTGTGACACAAGGAAAGTAAATATTACTTTTTAGAAATGTCGTGGTAATTTCATTAAAAGAAGACATTCTTAAAAGGTTGGTATTGCCATCCGTCTTGCTTTGCTTTCTAGGTTGCCAATTCCCCGACCAGGAGAGGTGTTAGGGCTTGTAGGGACCAATGGAATTGGAAAATCTACAGCACTGAAGATCTTGGCAGGAAAACAGAAACCAAATCTTGGGAGATTCAATGTAAGTCATCTTTCAAAGAGCTTGCTACTTTTGGGAAACATCTCTTCAGACACAGATGTTGTGTTTACTGCATTCTTATACCTGCACAGCACTCTGCATGTTCATAGAAAATTAGAGTGAACATTTCTTTTTTAGAACCCACCAGACTGGCAGGAGATTCTTTTGCACTTCAGAGGATCTGAGCTGCAGAACTACTTCACAAAGATTTTAGAGGATGATTTAAAGGTGTGTGCTTGGTTATAACTATACATCTGCACTGCCTTTCTCCACTGTATTATTTTAGAAACCTTTGCTGCCCTTTTGTTTTAACCCTTTAACTTCCAGAAGTGATTGAGAGGTAACTTCTCCTTATAATATGCATACACTATCTAGAAAACAGGTAATGAGAATATTCAAACTTATCATGTAGAAGTTGTTATTCTTGATCTAACAACAAATTCTCTTAACTGATTTAAAAGGAAATGTGTAACAGCTACAGGGGAGAATTAACAATCAAATCATTTTTTGAGTTTGCCATATGGGTTTTGACTAAAGTTTGCCAAACTGGAAACTTTGATTGCAAATTTTAAGGCTAAACTTCATTACTTCATGCTATGGTGGTGGCTGCTTTTAGTGTTAATCTTTTTGTTCAATTTTGAATCCCATTTTCTCTCATTAGGCAATCATTAAACCACAGTATGTGGACCAAATTCCTAAAGCTGTCAAGGTGAGTAACTTAATGATTGCTTCCATATTTGTTGCCAATTATACTTAATACACTCAAAAATCTCTTCATCAGAGAGAACTGCTCAGTCATTCAGCAATCTAACCTGAATGGTTAATGATCCAGTTCTGTTTTTGTTTAGTTTTGTTTACATGTGAGCACATGAAACTTGCTAGCAATGTTCTGAAAGTCAGTTTGACAAAACAAATCAATTACTATTGGGAAGAGGCAGGGATGGATATGATGATGTTTGAACAGGTCACATTTCTTAAACCCTTAAAACAAATTTTAGTCACAATTAAATCAGAGGTTAGACGGGTCAAAGGTGTAGAGGCCCATATCTGTGGGTGTTTAATAATTCCTGGTTTCTGTAGCATGAAGTGATCAGGAATACCTCTATTAAGCCTGGATAGGAAATTTGTCCATCACAGGTACTTTTAGCTTCCAGCATTTTGTTAGGCTTCACTGGAAGCCTGCCAGTACCCTATTACAGTATACTCTCAGGTGGAGAGAACCCTCCCCTCCCTCCCTCCCCCCCCCCCCACCTTGGGGGAGGGAAGACATCTACAGTGTAACTCACTCAGTGCCTGACAACAAAGGCTTTTATTGGAAAACTGTGTGCAACATCAATATATGGTGGCCTACTTGCAACCTAAGAATACAATGCAATGACCCAGACAGTGCTGAAACTGGAACGTCTCAATCTGAAGTGTGGTGATTTAACCCTTTAACTCCCATGAGTGACCAAGACAGAGTTTCTCCTTACAATATCAATATAATATTAAGCAGACAAGTGATGAGAATAAAGAAAAATATCAATCAGGGGATTATAAGTTGATCCAATACCAAATTCTCCAAACTAACACCACAAGAACTGTATGACAGACAGTAACAAGAATTACAAATGAGATCTTGGGAGTTAAAGGGTTAACTTCCTAACTCCTCCTTCTCTCTCTCCTACAACCAAAATCAGTATGATCTACATTTGTAAAGATACAATCCATCAAATTCCTGTAATCATATTTTTATAATTTTTTCAGGGAAGTGTTCAGTCGATTCTTGACAGAAAAAATGAGATGGACAATCAAGAACATATCTGCAGACAGCTTGGTATGCTTGGTACTTTTTGTTTATCTCATTTACCAACACCAAAATCTCACTGCCAAGTTTTGCTGTCAACTGCCATATGATTTTATAAGCCATTGTCATGATGGTACAACAAAAAATTCCCAATAATATTTCTGGCATTTTGTATCAATTTAAACATGCTGTGTCTTTCCCAGATCTACTAACAGTACTGGATCGCAATGTGGATGAACTTTCTGGAGGAGAGCTGCAACGGTTTGCTTGTGCAGTGGTTTGCATACAAAGAGCTGATATGTAAGTAAGAGATTAACTTTTAACCTAATCACAAGGTTAGGTTAGTGGTCACTACTTACCAATACCTTTAGGAAAAGTTTAGAGATTGTTTTCTTTTCTCCTAGATACATGTTTGACGAACCTTCAAGTTACTTGGATGTGAAGCAACGTCTGAAGTGTGCCTTGACAATAAGATCCCTTCTGGGTGATGATCGGTAAGTATTTGTGGTATAAATATGCAAGTGTCAAATCACCAGAAATCAATCACAAACTGGAAATGTTACACCATAATAAACACTTCAACCTCCTTAATGTGGTTTGTAATTCTCCCTTCGAACATCTTGCTTTCTTTGTTAACTGGAAAAGAGAATTTTGAGGTTGATTTATTAAGACATCATCCCTCAAATGATATGGTTGTGAATTCTCATCACTTGCTTTCTATTAATATATAGATGATGTTAGGAGAAGCTAAATTTTAATAACTGTTTATGAGTTACATGTAAGCTTCAAACTGATGAACTGGCAGTCTCCTATAGGACATTTCACAGTTGTGTACTTAATTGCCAAGCCTTTGATTTGGTGTGAGGCTGAAGGTGACCTGGTTGTGACAGAGACCAGTATCAAGTTAGCATGATAACTAGGTAATTTACCTTTGAAAAGCAACAAGGTTTGTATCATAACAAGGTCACTCTTAGCCTCACTCCTGTTCAAAGGCTTGGTAATCAAGCACACAACTGTAAAACGGACTATTGGCAGTATTAAGGCTACATAGGGAACAAGGAAGAGTTTTTAGCTTCTGAATGTATCTAAGGCGCTTGTATCCCTGTCGCACACTTACAATGTTCACAGAAAACTTAATTACATTATTTTCTTTGCAGGTACATTATTGTTGTTGAACATGACTTGAGTGTGCTGGATTATCTGTCAGACTACATATGTTGTCTTTATGGATCTCCTGGGGCTTACGGCGTGGTTACCATGCCCTTCAGTGTCAGGGAAGGTAAGAGTGGAAGGTTGTCAGCCAAACAAGGCAAAGGGTGAACCAGTTCCTTGACTGTGTGACAAACTTGTCAAATTGAAGACTTGTATAAAAGCTAATTGGCCCACACTGCTGGAGTTAACCTATAGTGTTTAAAACTGATGTGGTAAATTTACCAGAGACCATCACAAGTTCCCCTTTCCCCGACCTGTTCTAGCTTTTTTGAGGTTACCTAGACAACTGAGCAGAACCCATTCTACTCCTGAATGTATGTAGGACAGTAAGAGTCAAAGTTTCTGTACAGGAACACACCACAGGCTTAAGCAAAGACTCAAATTTGACCCCTTTGATTAGGCCATGGGTTTTCCTTACTATGGCAGTGTTCTCCAGAAGCACTTGCAGGCAGCCTTTTTCACTCATTTCTGAAGTGACACCTACTATAACTAGACAAATACATCGCAAAATTTATTTCGCATCCAGATCTATCTTGACCTTGAATGAATTTTATCCTTTACTTTATTTTGGTGTGTACCCGAAAACATTGGTTAAAACTGGAAAGAGAGCAATGAGTAGTAAATGCTGGCTTAATAAATTCTCTTGCCCCCTTGGGTATTCCTTTGATTCCTGCCAGCTGCTGTCTTTTCATAGCTGGCTGCTCAGAAAATCTCTGGAAAACACTGCTAAGAAAGGTCACATTGTAAGAAAAAAACCTGTTACATGCACTTGTCTCTAAGAGTTTCAATTTCAATTGTCAGGAATCAATATCTTTTTGGATGGTTTTGTTCCTACTGAGAACCTGAGGTTTAGGGATACATCTTTGGTTTTTAAAGTGGCTGAAACAGCAGACAAGGTTTGTGAAGTTGAAAGATTTTAGCCTTTGTAGGTTAATCAAGGTATTAAAAGAGATTCCCTTACACATGCATAACATGATTGAAACTTAAGACCCAATCTTGTCATTTGTGCAAAATCATCTTGTTTATGGATAATATCACCTCTTACTAACAGAGTGCAAGGCCTGCACTGTTAGTTACAGACCAAGCTTGTTCTGCTGGGATTCATGGCCCATGCGCCAAGCAACAGCAACATTACCCCCAGCATTTCATCAGGCTTCCCTGATGAAATGCTGGTACCCAGTGCCTCTCTCATGGATGGAGAGAGGCACTGTGAAAATGAAGTATTTTGCCGAAGAACACAAGGACCTTGTGAGGTCTGGGACCTAGAGTCTGACTGTAAGGCTACTGCATCTCCTCAAAACTGCATTAACCCTTTATCCCTAAGAGTGACCAGCATCTAATTTCTCCTTACAATATCACCCCTAAATCATGCAGTAAAGTCATGAGAATAAAGAAAATTATCAGCAGCTAAAGAAGTTGCTGATTGTAACACAAATTCTCCTTGTCAGCACCTTAGGGAATGTATAGAGAACAGTATGGAGAATATACATACTGATGTTAGGGTGTAAAGGGTTAAAACAACATAAAAATTTGTTGTCAAGAATATGATGAATAAATCACCTGAGTGAATTTCACCCCATGCTATCAGAACTTATCCTGGGCTGTTGTCCGTAGTAGAATTAATATTTGAGTTAAAATGTTGGCCGTCATTTTATTTTTCATGTGACAGGAGGAAGAAGTGAAGAAAATGTTGAGATACAAATATCCTAAGATGGAAAAACAGCTAAGTATGTGTGGAGGTTGGGTGCGTGTGGGGTCTTTATCATAAGGAATTAAAATTTACATAGGCTGAAAGATGACCTCAAACGATGGTAGAGAAAAGAAGGATCTGTATCTGAGGAACTGCAAGCATCCGAACTAGTGTGAATGAATTGCTGAATTGATCTCTTTACTTCCACAGAGGAGTTCCATTTGACTATTGATACTGGAGAATTCACAGATTCTGAAATCATTGTTATGCTGGGAGAGAATGGTAACGACTAATTGCTTTTATTTATTTATTTATTTGTTACAGGTCAACCCATCATTTGTGTAACTGTCTCCCCTCCCAGAAAGACTTTTGACATAGTTGCTCAACCCAAAGGAAAAATTATTAGTTCTTGTTCAACTGCAGTTTCCACACTATGTGCCATCACTGTTGCCACTATTGCCTCAGTTGTCTTTGTAGTAATCATCACCCAGTTAACCCTTTAACTCCCATGAGTGATCAAGACACAATTTCTCCTTTCAATATCAATACAATATTAAGCAGACAAGTGATGAGAATAAAGAAAATATCAGTGAGGGGATTATAAGTTGATCCAATACCAAATTCTCCAAACTAACCTTACAAGAACTGTAAGGTAGACAGTAAGGAGAATTACTAACGAGATCTTGAGAGTTAAAGGGTTAACAAATGGATTCCTTGTTGCCGTGCGTCTGTTCAGTAATAGATCACAGCTTATGTCAAAATGTGGTGAGGACGAAAACGTGGCACACAAGACGCAGCTGAGTGTGTCACTGATTTTATAGCCACACTCTTGACTGCTGTACAGATCCACGGCACATGGTATCTATTTGTTTTAAATGAACCGTTGGTGATGATCTATGCGACTGTCCTCCAAGGCCCAGTTGTATAAAGGGTGGACAACGCTATCCAACGGAGAAGTCCTCATCCAGCGTATAAGTGATAGCAAAACGTATAGCGTTATCCACTGGATAGAGATTTATCCAGTGAATAGCGTTATCCGATCTTCAAACAACCGGGGCCACTAGATTATTAGTAATAACCTACCAAAATGCGTGCACAAATCAGCTTGTTAAACAATTTTTTGTCACCATCAACTTCGTCAGCGTCGTCGTCGTCGCCATCATCATAATCATTATCACGCTGTTTCACATGCAACTTGAACTGCATGTCGTCATTGTAGATTTTTAGGGTTACATAATTGTCGCATAAATCTTACACTTTGGTTATCTGAGTGTTATAGTTACAAGCATTCAATTCTCTGAACCATGTCTGTTTATAACTGATGCGAGATTCTTTATATTGTAGGAACCGGTAAGACAACTTTCATCCGCATGTTGGCTGGGAAACTCCCGTCCGATGGTAATGGTAAGTACTCTGTTCCTTCAAGTATATGTCAGGTGTATATGGTTAAAGAAACAGATTATTCATTTGCCGCATGCATAAGACAAAAAAAATTTAGTCACCCAAGCGGAGTCGAACTTGGGCGAAGTTTGCATTCAGATACTCTACTATCACACTGCAGGAAACTCATTCACAAGTTAGGTCGAGGGGCCTGTTTATCGCAAACTGACCGAGCTTAAAATTCATCATCTTTCTTTGCCTATATGAATGATCACAAAAACTGTGTTTGTATTCTTTTTCACAGAACAAGTTCCCATGATGAATATCAGCTATAAACCACAAAAGATCAGCCCAAAGTCACAGGTAATTTTTTCCTTCTCTGTTTCTTTGTCGCCCTAAAGAAAGGAAAAAGAAACTCTTTTGCTGAGTAAAGAAAGGCGGAGCAGAGACGCGAGTTACTCGATATGTCTGCCCACCGGCGCCAGTCTCGTTCCCAGAGCCTCGTGATCGATAGTGCTTCAGAAAAGAACGAAGCACTGGAAAGGAGATTGCGCTAGCGTCCCTTGCCTCGTGTTACCTACGTTACCTTTCCTTTTCTATTAACTCGCCACAGAACACCGTGCGCATGCTCCTACACGAAAAGATCCGTGACGCTTATGTGCATCCTCAGTTCATCGCTGACGTCATCAAGCCTCTACAGATCGAACAAATCATGGACCAGGAGGTGTGTCATTTGTGACATTAGATTCATTTTTTTCTCCCAAGGCCTTTTCCAGAACGAGAGCATTTAGTTTGTCGGAGCAATTTTGAATTAAATTTCAGCATTCTCTGAATCCGTTTTGCTGTATCATCTGGAGAACTCGCACCAGTCTTTCAGCCAATCCGATGCAAAACTGGAACCAAGTGCGACTTGATTGTTCTCGATTTCCTTTCCACTTTGATCGGTAGCTTACCTTGAGTTCTTTTTTGCTACTTATGAATTTCAACTTTGTTTGGATCATTCGTTTTAATTACTAATCTGTTTTTTTTTACATGTATGTTGTGGTTTCATAATCCTCTAAACGTACCGCTGTTATGTTTCCTTTTCAGGTTCAAAACTTGTCTGGAGGTGAACTTCAACGCGTCGCGCTAACGCTTTGTCTTGGAAAGGTACATCCCTACTCTGTTTGTATGTGTAATCGCATGGGCCCGAAGGCAATTAAGGATTAACTTGACGCGTATCCATACAAATGAATTAATCCTTACTTGCCAGAGGGCACTTGCGATTACTTGTTTATCGTATAAAGGGCAAAATTTCTGAGGGAATTGCATTCGCGCACGATGTCCTCGCGATGAAGCCCTTTCAATGCCGCCACAAATGTCAAAACAAACGTAACTGACCAATAGATTCAATAAATATTTTATTTTCAAAATACAGTTGAAAAACTTACACGGCTTCTTTCAGTTAAATTGCAATCAATAAATCGTTGCTGTAAACAGCGAAAAAGCTCAATCAGCGTCAAATAATCAAGCCCTCTAGATTACCAAAAATGCCCTCTGTCTCAGCCAATCAGCATTCGGTAATTTTGCCACGCATGTGGTAAGTCATTTTAACATTTTTGCTATAGAGATATTTTCTCATTGTCTGATAGTAACTGAGTTCTAATCTGAACAGGACAAACTTAGCTGAAAACCTGAGCTAGATATCAACTAGAGAACTGTGCGGTTTTGTTTACGGTTTTGTTTTTCAGCCAGCGGACGTTTATTTAATTGATGAGCCTTCGGCATACTTGGACTCTGAACAGCGTCTTGTGGCCGCCAAAGTCATTAAACGGTGAGTGACTTGGGTTTCCCACGGGCAAGACGTGCGCCAAGAGTTCGATTTGTGACCATTCTTCTGTACATGGACAGAAATTAAGTATTTTCTTGGTTACTGCGTGGTATATACTGAAACAATTGTTCGCCCAGTAAATACCTGCTATTCATATCCACCTCGTTATGGTGGTTATTTTTTCACGCTAGCACCGAGCGATATCAATTCAGTTTCCATTTATTTCTTACCTATTGTTTAACATATTTATCGAATGACAGCATCAGCAAAGTTGTTACTTATTTCTTTGATTTCAATTTGACTTTTTCGGTGTGCTTTAGATTCATTCTGCACGCCAAGAAGACTGGTTTCGTTGTGGAGCACGACTTCATTATGGCTACTTATCTTGCTGACCGAGTGGTAGTGTTTGAAGGCGAACCTTCCGTCAAGACTCTTGCAAATAGGTAAACATTTTTTTTTATCATAATCTGTCTTAAGTCTAGAATGTTAAAAATTACGTGGTGGACTCTCTATGCAACCTGAGAACTTTCAAATGATTCCATAAGTGACAATTCTCACAGCTAGGAATAAAACCCATGACCCTTAAACTGATTCTCAATCAAGAAACCATTTTGCAGCTAGGATGTAAACAAGAAAGTTTTTATATTATCTGATAATTTCCTTGCAACCACTTTCATCTTGCTTTACATTGATGTTATTTGAAACGATGTTTGTATACGTGTAGTTCAAGGTATTGAGATAATATTCGAGAGAATTAAGAAAATTTTCTGCACCAGTTGATATTTCTATATATTCGTTTTCCAGTCCTCAGACACTTCTTACCGGTATGAACAAGTTTCTCCATTCCCTGGAGATCACCTTCCGGCGCGACCCGACTAACTTCCGGCCTCGAATCAACAAGATGAATTCTGTCAAGGTAAACTAGTGACAAGGAGTGATGATGCGATATTTAAGTCATTTCAGTTGAAGCGTCGTAGAGAACTGAGAACTTAAATATAGTCATTTGCCAGGGTAGAGAAACGCCAAAAAGGCAAGGAAAGACGAAAGGTACAACGGATTTCGCATAACCAGTTAATATTTGTGCCCGGTTTCTTCAAATGGCAAAGCCCTCCATTTCGCCAACCTTAACTGAATTATAGCCCTCTGTATGAACATGGCTTAAAAGTAAAGGATAAATTATCTCAAAGTCCTAGAGAAAAACAATGTAGTTGCTGTACCCTAGCTTACAGCAAAGTGATCGGACTTACAAGCCAGAAATATTCTCTTGTTTACAGGACTGTGAACAGAAAAGGACTGGCAACTATTTCTACCTTGAGGATTAAAGCAACCTGCTGATGTGACTTCGGCAAATAAATACATACATAAAAAAAGTTCAAATAACCATTGATGTAACAGAGAAAGCAAACCTGAAATGGTGCAAATGTGTTTTTTAAGATCATCAACAGCACTCTCTCTATTGGACTGCATCTGAATATTCCTAGCGAAGAAGAGCTTGTCTTTACTAACGGAACTGCATTTTAATGCTCCTACAGGTGGATCAATGTAATTAATCTCATGACTTGAACTTTGACTATGTAGTGGTATTGCTAAGAGAAATAAATTGTTTATCACAGCCACTGTTAAGAGCTGAACAGTCCATCAAACACAAATGTACCATCACCAAATCCATCTAATTTTTGACTAAATATTTTTAGAGGCTATGGCGAAAATTGTGTTATGTTTTGAAGTTTGTGTTATCGCAAATCCTAAGTTCTAGGAATGTTATGGTCTTCTGTACACTTTATTAGCTGCGAATCGACAAACCTTGTCATAACTAGAGAAGGCATGGGAAGTTGCCTATCCACGCTCCTCTTGTAACCTTCTGGTTTAGGGTCACGGTTTTGACAATTTTACTGCAATTATTTCGCGCGTGCGTTTGTAGCTATGTCTTTCGAACACTAAGAAGTATCACGTCACTTTGCCTTGTTTGGTCACAACGCGGTCTCCTGCCTGTGACACTGTCTGGCATTGATTTTCTCGAGTTGATACGATGTTTTCTGCAGCACTTTTTGCTGAACAATTCCTTCACCGCTTGTCTGAATCCTGAACAACGAAACGAATAAATTATGGGATTAGCCGTGGATCCTAACAGCGCTAACAAAATATAGATTGCTTCGTAAAGTACAAAACGTTCGCTGCATCGAAAGCTTTTGGCAGAAAGCTTTCCAAAAGATGGCGACCAACTAACGGCGAAAACTATTGTCGCGGCTATGAAAATCTTGGTCAATTTCCACCGAGATCTCAAAAGGGCTTTGTTCTTTGCATTTTTGGCCTCGTCGCTAAACCAGACATGTTTTATTATTCTGGTGTAGCAAGAACACATGACAATGCCAGGAACTGTTATCGAGATCACCAGAAGCGCGGCTAAATAACCTATAGTGGCAATTTCGTCTAACTTCGATTTTGCACAAACTTCCAGCATGTTATAACCGTTTCCCAGTAGATAGTAACTTGGTGCAGTAACGATTGCAGTGAAGGCCAATATTATCCACAGGAGTTTTGCTACGAGAGATTTGGTAACCTTAGCTTTGTAGTAAAATGGCTTTAAAATCGCAAGGTATCTTTCGATCGAAAGCAGAGTCAAGATTAGAATCGAATGCAAAGTGTGAAACATATATGTTCCATACAGACGGCCCTTGGCGCCAGTTGCTAATAAATAGATGTTTGTTTCTGCGATGAATCCGAAACTTAAGTCGCTCAGAGCGAGCCAGGACAGCAGGTAGGTGTTTGGACATTGCATCTTTTTGTTCATTTTAACAACTGCAATGACGAGTGCATTTCCAATTACATTGCAAATGAAGATTGGCAGCGAAACAAACCCTGCCAATAGACGAATTTCTTCGTTCATGGCTGACAGCCAAAAGCTCGGGAAGACTACTTGACTTCTTGATTGTGGCGTTAAAGAAAGGCTCTTCCACTCCTTTTCAAGTGTGGATCAGAGCTGCACCACTGAGGATTAAATTAAGTTTACTTTTAGCATTAAACAAATAAATAGATTGCAGTCGAGAATAATTTGATTTTTTGACAATCAATCCACATGCCAAATTAATTTCACAGCTTCAATTTTTCTTGTTTCTCTTGATGGACTCTTTTAAGACGATAGATGCCTTATGCTAATAGATCACAAGGCCATTAACAGACCTGAATATAGAGATGAGGCGATAACAATGATTGACCTTTTGAATATAACAGTCTTTCGTGATCAGACTTTAATCTCAAGATCGGGTGGACTAAGTTATTCATTGGTTTACAATATAGATTAGAGGACAGACTAGTTATCACACTGTATTTGTTGATTGGATGTTCTTTCTGCTAACAAGGGATTTCAGTTTGAATTAAAAACAAATAATATTATCCGAAAAGGAAGAGTTCACTCTATGAGGTTTTGGAGATATGATTGATGTCGTCTTGCTGCCTCTCTCTGTGGGGATAACCTTTTGAAAGCCTCTAACAAAGAGGAGTTCATTTCTCTCTCTGCGTGAATTAAGAAATCGAGGTTTGGCTTGATCTGTGCTTTCCCGCCATTTAACTACACCATTTCCAAATTTGTTGTAAAACTATGAAAATATATGTGATTATGATACCTTTACATTGCTTATCGTCCAGGTAACAGAATTTACTAAATAAAGGTTGGCAAGAGTTATTTGACTCTTCGTAATTTATTTAAGTTCCACGTGTCTCAATAAATAGCGACCTTCTTTACAACTTTAAAAATTATTGACTGAAAATTAAAATAAAAACTATTATTCAAATTTGTTTGTTTTGGAATTGAAAAGCATTTGAACATTTTTTTTGACATTACTTGCACTTGCGTACTTTTTCACGGTTTTCATAAAGAAAAAAAACAGGTGAAGAGAGTCAAAATTTTAATTCTTTACGTTGTGTTCTTTTAGGAAAACATCGATGCGACAGCGCAAGAATTCTTCGCTGCCGGAGAGAGAGAGGAATGAGATGGTGTTAATGAATTTTGCATGTTTGGAGCAGGGTTAATTTTTTCCAATTTAGCCTGTGTTAAAGTTCCTTGATAAAGGTAAAATAGGAAACAAGTGTTCGATTGTAATAGATCAGCTGTCTAATTTCATTCTCTTACATGGGAGACCACTTAAGTTTTTTGGAGTGCAAACACCATTCTACTTTTTTCTGTGGACAGGAAGTCAAACATTGAAATTTCAGTGGAAAACCATAAACAGCAGAGTAAATATTTCTCGGAATTATTATGATAGAGAATAAAATTGTATTGAAGATGGTTTCTTTGGTTTTTTGAGAAATAATTCGTTGTTAAAATGTGATATGCAAGGTTTTTTAACGCTTCTGTGGACTTGTTAGCCGATGAAATTATATCAAAATTCATGCTATTAATAAACTGACGGTTGTGTCATGCAACCGTTTACAAAAACTTTACATATAATTCATAGATAGACAAACAAAACAAAAAATTTTCATTTTGGGTTTGGACAGCAATCGGTCAAAATTAGATTTAGGATGGCGCTTTATTTCCCTGGTGTTCTAAGGCGATTGATTCAAAAGAGTTGTGCAACTCCCATAGCGACGAGGAACTGACGACATTAATACATACGTCATTTCAGAAGTAAAATTATGTACAGAATCAGCCCGTTATTTAATCCTTGCCACCCATCATTTGTTTTTCAAATAAGTCGAACTTGTAAGGCAAGAGCTAAAACTATCGCTATATCGAAAGAAGAAAATGATTTAAGTTTGACTTTGAGGAGGCGGGTTTAAAGAGAACTCGAAATTCTTGAAACGTGCATCTCAGCTACTCTCTATGTGCAGTGCCTCTATCTATCACCCCTAAACAGCTTTTCCCGCGTTGGAATATAGTTTTGCGGACAGCTTTACGCAAGGCCATAGCTAACGCGAACGCAACTAATCTTGACCAGATGGTTTTACATATTTTACATATTAGTGCGTACGAGGCCCGTTAACATTCTAAATATAAACTTTGGAGGCCTTATCTCGTAATAGTGTAGGAAACTCGTACCTCATACCCCAACTTGCTTGGTCCGATCTATTTTGCTCGCGTTCAGTAGTCCATATTCCTCTATCCAATACATTGTAAATGCCTAGGACCCAAGTTATTTTCTGGTTGCTCCGGCGGCGGAGAGGTACTATCCAAATTTTAGACCATTCGTGCACCTGAAAAAAGCAAACATCACTTTTGAAGAAGGTTACCAGAAGGATTACTGTTGGCACTTTTAGGTTCTGTGGGAATGACAACTCATCATTGGACTGCTGCGATTAAGTATTCTCCGAATAATGCTTCGATTAATTTCACAAGTAATGCGTTAGGTGTATCAGAAACTATTAACACAATCTACATATTCGTCCTTCTTGCGTGTGGTCAAATCTACCGAGTATGGCAGTGATTTTCTGTTACTCACGGGTGACGATCGCGTATGGTTCAAAGTGGTAGACAAAGCTATAAACGTTGCTCTCTTCATATCACGTTGGAAACCGACAAATCTTTTCGTCATCCTCTCTACAACATTCATAATTACTTGGACTCCAACCTTTGGGAGACCAATCGTCAAACGGTTTTCTGTCTATACTTTATACTTGAACTTTTCCAATTTCAAACATTTTATTTATTCCAGAAAAATATCATTATTATCAGAATGAACCAGCGAATCTACCATCTACCGCTAATGCTTTCTTCAGATTACATTTGCTCCAAGTTTAATGCCGAATTAAAATGATCACAACTTTTAGCAAAAGCGCATATGAACTGTTCATCGATGCATTTGAAATGCAGTTTTAAAGTTTGGACGGACGATTCTGTTAAAGTTTTAAAGTTTTAAAGAGACTATCTGCCTCAGCCAGTTACTCTATTTATTTTTAAAAGACCACCCTTACCATATCCAAGTCATTAGAGGGCTACATTGGTCTCTTCAGCCACCTGAAATTATTCATATATAACTCTCATTTGGAAGATGAATTAATTTTGCTGAGAGTAGAAACAGTCATGTGTTTACTTTCTCAATAGAAAGGAAATTTAAAACTGAGTTGTTATGGAAAACTTAAAAATATTTTAATGAATAGAAGAAAGAATACATTGCTAGAGTTATCATGATGAAAAAAATATTCTGTATGAATACACTATGTTCTTTTATTTTGCTTTTTTTTTTTGAACGACAATATTCTGGATGAAATATGATCTTTTAAAAGACAAAATAGCGCATTTGGATGAACTTTTTCGATAAGAGTAGTTTTATTCCATTTAAATAATATTCTTTACAATATTATGATTAACGATTATTAACTAAAGTGGAGGAGAAAAGTGGTGGACGTTTGCTGAATCGCGAAGTCCATCGCGCAAGTAAAAAAAAATTAGTGAAAAAAAAAGCGCGTCGTTAGCGCGTCGTGGGGAGCCCTGGGAGTGAGTCCTACTTTTCAAGTGCCTCACCCAGAGCTTCCTGTGGGGCGCTTACGTCAATTTTTTTTTACCAATTTTTTTTTTCTGACTCGCGTGACGCACTCTGCCGAAAAGGGGGGGACTGCTCCTAGTTTACTTTTTTTAGTAGTGAAAAATTTCCGAGCTGATTTGAGAGTAAATGAAAAGGCGTCCTATGGTGACTCAGACGCCGAATAGAAAAACAGTTAACTGATGTAATTGTTAGCTTTAAAATATAAAAATGAACCATGTGAATCTAAATAGCTAGTCGGTGCATTATACAACAATCGATATGCTTGCGAGAGTTCAGACCATCGTTTTGTTTTTGCCGTAATCGTATTAAACTTCCAAAACAACGTATAACTTTGTAGACGCAAAATAAATGGTTTAAACTCTCTTTATAAATAAAAACAAGTCATCTTCTCCCTTAAATCTCATTACACAGTTCTGGGTGTTAGAGTTGAAATCAACGTTCACTGTTGGAGCTTTCTCGCGTTAGCAATATATCTTTAATACGCAATCCTGTTCCAGCTACCGCATAACGTCTTCGCCTAAATACAAATGCACAGCTGTAAATTCTTCATGCACAAATTACGCAAAAACCCGCAGCATCTCTTCAAGAGAAACAGACACAAAAATGATGAGTTTATTTTAAAAAATAAGTCTTCAAAGGCTTAATGGTCGTATGTTAATAGATGATAAGTGTATAATTGTTGAATAATGAATTAGATCTAAATTTTTTATCCCTATTGGCGCTAGATCTTATTCTTTTCGCTAAAAATCCATAAAAAAAATCTTCACTAGAAGGTGATCTTTATTTGCATTCCAAATTAAAGCGCGAGTGGGTAAAAAATAATAAATCATATGTGATAAATGAAATACAGTTGAAATGATGCAGAATGAATGAGAAAGAGAGGGAGGAAACTATGCATGCACGCATTGCTTGCCTACATTTCTCTACTGCAAGCTCCATTGATTGATGGGAAACCCCGTAGCCGACTTCCGCTTACTTCATCACAATTCTCATTTTGGAGCTCCTCTGTTTTAAACTAGCAGTGCAATCATGGCTAGTTCCTGAAACTGCAAATGGTGAGTACATGAACACTCTGCGCAAATAGTGAAATAGTGTGTATTATTTGACAATACAGGATGAAAATCGATTTGATTAAATGTTCCCAAAAATTCCAAAACCGGAAGAAGCTATCACAAGCATTCTATCGAGGTAGCGTGATAAATACTGTGCATGTATAAAAACTGCCGATTAAGAACTTTCAAAAAGACAAACCATATGTAGTACCAGTTTTAGTAATAACCAAACAGGAGTGAAGTATAGATTTCAATGTCGTTCCTTGTCCGTTTGCTCTCCAACGCATCACGAAGCCTAATTTTCAATTGGCTTTTCATCATCGACGTCAAAAAGAGACTGATATTTCAGCGTTACTTTTATCATTTCCCAGATCTTTCAGCGCTCAGATACTGCTTAATTTAATCCAGCATTCGTACGACAATCGACGCATCTCAGATGTTGTCATCGCAAATGAAGCGTATATTTGATTAGAACTACCGCAGGGGTCGCATGCAGCACCTTAAAAATTTGAAAAACAATCAAATCAAACTGATTATATGTAATATTAAGGAAGATTTACTGGTTAACAACTTTGAGGAGATGAGATAGAGAAACGTTTGACATGCTTGTACTCTGTAAACTTTTTAGTTCAAGAACTTTTTTAGATAAGGGTTCACGTTCACGCTGGCTGATTTTGAAAAATGATAATGAGGACTCTAAATCAAATTATTTTCAAATTCTCGCTTTACATTGGAGTTGAAGGCCTCCTTTCAGATTTCTCCTGAAGAGAAAATATTCGGGATCATACGGTCTCATCAAATGTTAATAACTTTGGTGATTCAGGAGAGACGTTGCAATTGATCTATCGCCGCCAGGGACAGAAGGCTGCCATAAGTATTTTTGAATGCATGTTTAATACATGTAAAAATGTATTTTTGCATATATTTGCGGACTGCAGGGTTAAAACTGAATTGAAAACGCAGGAGTTAAAATGAAACATACACGTAATGAGAACAGAAACAGGCTGCTATGACGAGTGCATTTCTTTTCTATTTTTTCGTTTTAATGGTATTTCTTTGGTACTTGATGTAATTTTTCACGGATTAAGAGAATCATGACGCAAAAAAATCGAACATAAAATGAAGAGCGTCGTTAAATCTTGCTGTAAACTAAAACAAAGTGAACGGAAAAGACTAAGTGATTGATAGAGGAGTCATCTTGGTACTGAATTAAAACATTAACATGTTAACCGGGCGAACATCGAAGATGATTGTACATAGCAAACTAGCTCAGCTTGATTAAAAAGCTCAACTGAGCCAGCAAGATAAGAAAGAGTAAGCTGTACAACTGTGTAGCAATCATTCTATTCCAGAGTCCAGGTATGCACCGGGCTGTAAGGTGCAGAAAGCGAAACGGTAGAGCAGAAGAAAACAAATCTGATTTTTTAAAGAACGACAATTGTGTGGCTAAGTTTTCAAAGTTAACACTCATTTAAGACAGGAGTCGCTCTGTCAGAAAGGAGAAGGGTTTGGGTCAAGGGTTGATAGCTATCCATTGCTAGTTAATGAGGGATCAAACGTGGTGTTATGTTTTTGCAGTTATCTCATTGGTGAAATGGCAGCCGCCACAGACCCCAGTAAGGCGCTTGATTCAACTCCTGAGAAAACGAATTTCCAACGTGCAGCACGACTGCTGATCTGCGGAGGAACGATGATACTACGAGAAATTTTCGACAAGATACATCCACTAAAAGACCTCCCCACAATATTAAATGATCCGGCTATAAAAAGCCAGCTCGCAGCAGCAAGGATCACCAAACCACAGTGGGATTGTCTTTACCCCTCCCCAGGGACGTATGGCAAATCAGAAGATTTCGATGTGACTCTGCTCTTTAAATTGCTACGGACAATATGCAACCTCCATCCTACAGCCTCGGGATGGGACGATCTACCGGCAAGTACAGACCACAGTTTAGCTGCGGATTTAGCGAGAATCAAATATTATCGAAACACCGTGTACGGTCATGTGAATCAACGCATGGAGATCAGAAATGAAGAGTTTCAATTACTCTGGCAAGAAATCAGAGAAGCTCTATTGAGAATTGCTAGATCAATCAGCTCAACAAAGGGAACTGAGTGGGAGGATGCCATTGATAAACTTTTGAATGATCCTCTCACTGCGGAGGATGACAGAAATGTAAAGGAATTACTACACTGGTATAGAAACGATATAGAAATTAAGGAATTAGTGGTAAAACTCAACTCTTCTATCCAAGACGTCCAAAATACAATAGAGGAGAAAGGAAAAACTTTGGAGACGACTTTTCACGAGGAAGCCCAAGGCATTAAAAATCAGCTTGAAGAGGAACTAAAAACTACAAGAAAAGATGCTCAGTGTGTAAGACAAGAAGTCCAGAACATCAAAGATCAGCTTGGAGATGAAGTAAAAACGACAACTGAAGAAGTACAGTTCTTGAGGCGAGAACTTAGAGAAGAGGCTAAAGATATTAAAGATCAGCTTGGAGGGGAAATGAAAGCCGCCACTGAAGAGGTACAATCTCTACGACAAGAGTTTCAAGAGGAAGCTAAATATATCAAAGATCAGCTGGGGGGTGAAGTAAAAGCTGCCACTAAAGAAGCCGTAACATCTCTGCGACAAGAAGTCCGAGAGGAAGTTCAAAACATAAAGGATCAGCTAGGAGAGGAAGCTCAAAACATAAAGGATCAGCTAGGAGAGGAAGTTCAAAACATAAAGGATCAGCTAGGAGAGGAAGCTCAAAACTTAAAGGATCAGCTTGACAAACTTAAAGTCTCATCTGAGGTCCATCAAGCTTCTGGAGGTCAGCTATTAGACATAATCATAATTTACTAAGGGCCTGTTTACATGGAGGTGGGGGACCCAAGGTAGGTGAGGTAACCCGCCTAGGTGGGGTAGCTCGCCTGTCCATATAATTTCTTATTTATTTTGATGACGTTTACAAGGTAGGTGGGGTGACCCGCCTAGGCGGGTTGCCAGGTCTGCCAGGTAGGGTGAAGGGTAACCCTCTCAGCCGGGGTGACAATTTGCCATGTGAACGTGTCAAGGTGCGGTAACCCGCCTGGCCGGAGTCGTGTTCATGGCAAAAAGCTCAAAAGTGAAACATGTATGTTTTAAAACTTTGTGCATTTCCTAGCCGTCTCATGGCAGAAATCACCAGAAACCGCAATGGACACACAAGGAGTGTAAAATGTTCACACTTCGGAATATTTAGCGATGTAACTAATCTAACTATTCCGTATAACGTATTAAGTCAACAGTTCCTCGCGAAACCAAACACCGCGTAACACAACGCGTGACGCTTTCATGAATAAATACATATGTTTCCGGGAATTCATCTTTCGTCTTTTTCGAGATGTGAGCTTGGGACGCCTCTGCTCAAACTCTTTGGTTGCAAGCGCAACAACAACCTTAAGAAACCTCACCCTAGCGCCCCGGGGTTTTAAGATTGCATGTAAACGCGTTTTCTTTTTCGACCACGGCTAGGCGGGTTACCTCACCTATCTGGGGTCCCCCACCTCCATGTAAAGAGGCCCTGAGTCCTGTAACATCAAAAGATATATTACACCCATTTTGAAATCATTGGTGATCCTTGCAATCTGACTAGCTCTCATCTGTGTGATTTATTCACAAGACAACTCTTGCAGCATTTTACAGACCAGCTCGGTACTGGATCGATAAATTATTTGTCAGTAAAGGGCTATTCTGTTTATATGATAAAAAAATAATACATGGTTGCTTGTAGATATGAAATTTATCTTCTCGTGTTCAACTCGACATCTCACTCGTTCGCTGCGCTCGTGAGCTATCGATTCAGACACTCGTAAAGAAATTCCATATGTATTCGCGCCCACGGACTATTCTCTATGTATTTGAGCTACTGAATTTTACAATTTCAAAATGGATGTAATGAAGTGGTAATTGAAATTCGTCTCGGGTAATGTTGGTCTTAAATCATACTTGTGATTTCAATCACCCGTAAGATTTCAGACCAAAATGCACTCCATTCACTCAATTACCATAATAAACATTAAGGTTTTAAAAAGAGGGTCTGGGTAAACTTTTTATAGAAGTTAAAGTTTGTTTACTAATTTATGGCTAACCGAACTTGCACGAGTCTGGTCCCTCGAAGATCACAAAGTTAACATACATTTATCCTAACAACCTCAAATTAGCTTCTTTGACCATTTAATCCACACATTTTCTGAAAGGGCCCGAACGTTGCCAACTAACGGCTCGACAATATCGTTTTGCGGATTTAAATACTAATGAAGTGGTACAAAATTTCCTGTTCCCGGTCCGAAAACGTTGAACCGGCGGCAAAAGTCTATGTGCAATTACCCACCAATTGTTCGTGTACGATGTCAGTGTGAAAACTGTGATAAAACGTTTCGGTACAATTCCATGTCGCACAGGAATCATTTGGTCTCAAGTCTCCTCTGTTCAACCAAACCTGACTTGAAGCTTATTGAAATTTAGAAACTAAAATGTGTAAGAGCGCAGATTCATATTTCAGTCACTGTCAGTTCACATGTTCCAACTCGCAGGCACGAACTTTATGCATTGCGTGATCAGAGTTTGGAAATCACTGATTGAAATTATCAGCTCTTAAAGCGTGGTAAAGTTTAAGTATCGGAATAACACGTCTGAGATCAACGGTACCATTTAAAAGTAAGAGGGCAGAGGCTTGAGTTGCCACATCCCTATCGTGGTACCTGAAGTAACATTGGTTGATGAAACTTTTTATCCAAATAGTTCAGCTTCAAATGCGGATTGACTGTAAGACCATCAAAGAATCTCCAGTACCTGGAGCCTCAGGTTTGATGGTGCTAACATCTGAGGGTTCTGATATCGAGAGGAAAAAAATTGTAGGAGTTAAGCATAATGAAATGGCTCCTACTGCATCATCGTTTCAACAAGAAAATGGAAGTACAAGAGGCTCTGAGGCAATGAGGATTGGAAGTGACTGTTTACCTAGTTCTGAGGAGGTTCTGAATTTCATTGCACTCAAGTATTTCAAGGAAGTTGATGCATCCAGCCCGCATGAGCGAAATGAGTTTCTGCAATATCTCAGGGACGTGCGCAAATTGCTGCTTGTTGACACTCAAATAGGAAGCATTATTATAACAGTGGAATGTAGCTCTCTGCAGGTATTAGACGAACTGTGGGATGACCATTGCACGGGCCATCTCAATGAGATGGCTCAAAAACATCTTGTCACAGAGGAAATTCTAAACAAGTTTGGTCTCGTTGAGGTGCAGTTATCGACAACGATTCGAGAAGAGGAATATAGAGCCGCTCAAGAGTATTTCATGAAATGCTCAGGTTAGTGTAGAAAGCTGTTTCAAGTCGATTTCCAGAAGAAGCATTCGACAAAATTTATATACATTTGTCGCGCGCGTAGCATAAAACGTCAGCTTATTCCACAAACTAGCATTAACACGCTTACTCTCCCATGATCGAATATTGCGTTTCTGGCTATTTTTGGTACAAATCGAGTTATTAGTATATGATGAAAAACGCATTTCAAACGCAAAGATGACCTAATATCGAGACAACCGGACAAGCTCATAACATTTAAAATAAGATACAATAGTGTGCTGGTCAAAAAGAAACAGTGTGAGAGATTGTAATGTTCTTTCTACAGTTTAGCTTTCAACTCTAGGTGAATTCCATAGTGAATTATGCCGATACTTCATTTTAAACCCAGCTGGATTGAAACTTCATCCTTCCCACCAGATTTCAAAAGAAATTCTAGTGACTCCACCAAAATAAAGTTAAATTTAAGTTAATATTGGCTTGAATCATTTATAAATAGTCAATGATGCAAAACCGAGAAGGACGACCCTGCCATACGGCAAAGAGCACGTTGATGTCGCGGATGCTCACAGTAGCTTGAGTCCCACAAAGCCAAAGTTCTTGGGGGATTTTCAACAGGTTCAGGAGCCTTATGAACGTCCTTTAGACAGTCAGTTGAAAATACTTGGACCCGGATATGTAGATGTTGCCATCGCTCACCACATCGACTTGCGTGATCTGCAACAGGCCAAAGACCATTACGAACTTGCTCTAGACATTCAATTAAAAAAGTTTGGACCTACGCATGTTGATGTCGCGCGTACTTACCATAGCCTGGGTTATGTAAACCTTAACTTGGGTAACCTGCGACAGGCCATAACAGATTATGCACGTGCTCTAGACATTCGGCAGAGAATGTTTGGAATCGAGGATATCCATGTCGCGCTCAGCTGCCATAACATGGGTGTAGTATATCAGCAGTTAGGTGATCTGCAACAGGCCCAAGAATGCTTTGAAATTGCCCTGCAGATTCGATTGAAAAAGCTTGGACCCAACCACAGCGATGTCGCTCTTTCATACCATACCTTAGGTGTTGCACACCATCAGCTGGGTGACTTGAGAAAGGCCAAAGAGTATTACAAACGAGCTCTAAGCATTGCGTCTATGCACGAGAACCATGGTAATGCATACCTTAACGTTGGTGACCTACAGTTCGCCAAGGAACATTACGAACGTTCTCTAACTATTAGGCTCAGAACGCTTCGACTCCTGAGAAAGCATGCATTTCTGCAGGTCGCTGTCGCGCGTACTTACCATAGCCTGGGTAATGTAAACCTTAGCTTGGGTAACCTGCCACAGGCCATAAAAGATTATGCACGTGCTCTAGACATTCGGCAGAGAATGTTTGGAATCGAGGATATCCATGTCGCGCTCAGCTGCCATAACATGGGTGTAGTATATCAGCAGTTAGGTGATCTGCAACAGGCCCAAGAATGCTTTGAAATTGCCCTGCAGATTCGATTGAAAAAGCTTGGACCCAACCACGATGATGTCGCACGTTCATACCATACCTTAAGTGTATTACATCATCAGCTGGGTGACTTGAGAAAGACCACGGAGTATCGGAAACGAGCTGTTCACATTGAGTTGAAAAAGCTTTGAGCCGAGCTTGCCGTTGTCGCGTCTAAGTTCAGGATCCTAGGTATATAATGCATACCGGTGACCTGCGACCGGAGGATTTTGCGTACCAACCAGTTGCTCGGAAGAGTACTCATGGCCATCTGACATTGAGATGGAAAAACTTGGACCTAAGGTTGTGGACGTTGTAGATCCCCATTGACATGTGTAAAGCTCCATAGGATTTGACTGAGTTTCAGGGAGCCTTGAAGTATCATACAAGATCCAAATCCTCTAGTGAAAGGAACTTCGGCTTTCATCATGAGAAAATGTCATTTAATTTATTTATCGTCAAAATGAGCCCTTTGGTTCCAGTACTAAATGATATGTAATTTCTCATATTGTTTATATTTATCCTGAAGGGGTTCAAAGTCGATAGCTACACGGTTATCTTATATAATTTGCAATGACGTGAATTTCATTTAGTTTGACCTGCAGATTTAAGATTAAATGAGGCCATGATCCTTGTAGATAAGTTGTAATTTTAGAAATTGTAGAAAAGAAAAAAATTCAGGCCTCTATTTTTTTTATCTAAAAATTCATCAACCCGAACAAAGCAAAATTTCAGAGAAATGAAGAGTGTTTTGATTTTAAAACGTAATACATCTCTTCCCCTCCTATGAGTGACCAAGACAGAATTTCTCCTTACAATATCAATACAATATCAAACAGCTGAGTGATGAGAAAAAAGGAAAACAGCAATTTGGGATAATTAGTTGATCCAATACTAAATTCTCTGAACTAACGTTATAAGATTGGTATGGTTGAGAGCGAGGAGAATTACAAATTTGATCTGGGAGTTAAAGGGTTAAGGATGTTATTGATAACCGCTAACATTTATTTTGACGTTTGCATGTTTGGAGTAAGACTACTTTTATTTAATTCAACCTGCGTTGAGCTTGTCTAATTATGAATAGAAAAAAAAAGAAAAACAAATACTCATTAATTCTGTAATATTTCTGTGCTTCTTGCAGCTATATGTAATTATCCAGCTGCCTCAGATTATAATAATCATTTAGAAGACCACTTAATTTTGTTTGGAGAGAACTGAATTATTTAAGTTTTTGCGTGTCAAGATGAAATTAGAGGTGGAACATTGTTGTGGTAATCTGACAGAATAATTATGGACAGCAAAACTGTCCATAATTAACTAGTAGAATCTATGATAAAATGGAATGGATCTTTTGGTTAAAAAAAAAAACAAAGTTAGAATTTTTTGTGATCTCGATGTTTTCATTAATGCTTTTCATTAATGCTTTCTCGATTTGTTTTTCATGTGGAAACTTACTGTTTCGTGGTGGGTTACAGAAATCTAAATGAAAGCTTGAATTTGTTAAAGGCGTGCTCACAGTACGTACCCACAACCTTTTTCTATGTAAATTATTGCTCGATAGATAAATAAACCAAACTTTATTGTATAAGTTATATATACCAACACCATATGAGATTGAATTTCAAACACAGCTTTACCCCCGAAGGTTCGTGTTGTTCTCTCGGGTGACGCACAGAGTAAGCCACTTTATTTTCACTATACTCTCCAGTTTTCTTTATTTTTCGTCTTTTTTTTTTCGTTGTTTTTCAGCATATGGCGGGTTCGAATCTTTTCGTTACTGTTCTTTCAATTCCTCTTCTTCTTTTCACCGTTTTTGGAAATTTTCTTGTTATAATAGTCATCCGCAAGTGCAAGAAAATTTTGAACGCAAATACCCATCTTATATTCCACCTTGCATGGTCTGATTTGTTTTTTGCTCTGACCACTTTCGCGGAGACGATTCTCGTCTCTCTTGAAGTTCCTTACTCCTCTTTCCAATTCCTTTTTAACGCTTTATTTTCAAGTTATACTCTTGTTGTCCTAGCGATTGAGAGGTACTATGCAATTCTGAAACCTTTCGTGCACATGAAAAAGGTGGATGTGTGTTTAACGCGGAAAGTTTGTGCCGCGCTGTGGGTCTTGGTTGGTGTCTTAACTGCGACAGGATTTGTTATCGAATCATTTGAAAATAGGTACAAGTATTCTGGGTTTGTTAATGGTTCGATGGACACCTCAAGAGATCTTCCTCCTGTCCTCGAAACCATTAATATTACCTTCGTATTTGTTGTTTTTGTACTCGGTCTCGTAATACCAAGTACTGTTATGATCCTGTGTTATTCACATGTGATTTATCATGTGTGGTTCAGCGCTGAAGACAAAGCAACGAACGCTGCTCTCTTCAAATCGCGCCGTAAACTGACCAAACTTTTTATCATCGTAACCATGATATTCATTATTACTTGGACTCCAACATATGGCAGGCTAATCGTCAAGGAGTTTGTGAATCAGGAAACGACAAAGAAGTCCTATCAGCTTGTTTCCATGCTGCTTGCCCTGATTGGTTCAGCGGCAAATCCTGCCATTTATTCGTTTCGTTGTCCAAGATTTCGCCAGGAAGCTGTTAAAACGTTATCATGTTGTTGCTGTAAAATGAGAAGACGCCGTCCAAAGGGGCGAAGTGGTAACAGAGTGTTTGTGACCAGTGGCCGCTGTATGACTGAGACACAACATAATACAACAAATCTGAATGAAACCTACGCTGATTCAGTGTAGAAATTTTACATTCATGGCTACACGAAGTTCCTCATTGACACAGAGGGGCACTTTGGCTTAATTTATGATCAAGCCCTTTAAGTTCCTGTGTATCGTTTTCATTTCAAATGACCATCACATCGGCTTCTGATATTCATGTTAACGTCTCAGAGATCACTGTTACCATTCGCTTAAAAACACATCCGCTGCTATGAGAATAAGAGAGCTATAAAGCTTGGCTTTAGATAGATGAGATACAAGGAAAGTATCAGCCGCCAAGGGCAAATTACACGTTGTAATAGCACATTTAATTAGTGTTTTTTTACCAAGAGTGCTTTTGCTTGAAAATACGCTTTACTTGAGTGGAAAAGTAGCAGTCTGCAGTGAAATTGTGTATTCCAGAATTATAAACCGAATATGGAAGAATAATTGCCTGAAATACGAGAAGGGAGACGTTCTTTTTGCTCATTTGTTAGCTTGTTACCGAGAGTATGGCTTTTAAATACCGCCTTCTGGGTTTTTGAGAACCAATGGGAAAACTGAAGTTTCACCGCATCAAGATCATTCACACAATTCAAACTTCTTCCCATTATTAATCACTGATAATTACAAATATACATTCAGAATATTAAAGGCAACTGTTTCAGTACTACGAGACTACTGACAACAAAAGATATAGCTCGTTCTGGTACAAGCTTCAGAGATGTACACCGTAAGTCAATTTTGTGCCATTTATTTTATATGTTCAATTAGTACTAGAGTGGACATGCATACTACAGTTACTAGTTGTTTTGGACCATGAAGATTCTTTGAAAGTAAGGATCATGTTATGAGTAAATAAGCGTGAGAATGTAGCAATGTCAGGGTCGGAGCAATTGCGCACCTACCCCTGCCCTAACCCACAACAGTCAACTTATAACAAGTTAGGGTTGGGGTTAGTTTAGGGGAGGGGTAGGTGCGCAGTCTTGATCTAGAAGAATAGTGTTGGAAATATAGTCAAGAATTTATAATCGATAACTATAATCTGATGGTGTATAACATATTTCGTGTTACAGTAAGTGAATGGGGTGCTTTAACAAAAGTCCTAGTTCTGCTGTGAATAAAGATCTTTAATAAGATGAGAATAAATAAAAGTTCTTTGAGTGTTACTTTGGAAACCTAACTTGAATGAGGCATAAATATTTTAATAATTACATTAAATTATCAAGCAACAAAATCAGCTTCATCGACCCAATTCCACAACCATGAATTCTTTCAAATTTTTCCTTTAGCTTAGTTGCTGCTTGAAATTAAATCTGAGCAGGGCTTTTCTAAGGTAGAATTAAGAACAGCCCCAAGGCATGATTAAGTCAAACAAGAGGTAACTGGGACATAGTGAAAACAAAATGAGGTAGGTGCTGTTAACAAGTTATAGGAGGACATATACCTGAGAGGTAAATGAATTAAGGCAAGACTGATGTGAAATACCCAGATCTTCCTACTTTCCCTTTTCATTTATTTTTCTTTGAGTTTTGAATGGCAAAAAATTGTATTTCATGCTCACATGAAACCCTTCCTTTAAACAACAAAGTATGACAAAAAAAGAAAAGCAATTGATTAAAAAACTCCGTTATTTTAATAGCTCTCTCCGTGATGTTTTTTGTTGACTCAGGTGACGAAAGTTAGAAAAAACATTATTTTTATCAGTTCTGGGGGAAAAACTTTTTATTTTCAATTAATATAGATAGATAATCAGAAGCGAATTATAAAGCAAACTAGACATGATGCAAGACTATAAGTACAAAAGGAATGTCATATGGTCTCCAACTTTAGTTTAACTCTGTCCTGAAAAGCTACCGCCTCACTTCTTTTTTTTTTTCTTCCATCTAGTTACCATTTGAATTAAGGAGTTCATTGTTTTCTAAACAGTGGCAATATTTCAGTTAATCACGACCTTTTCGAAAAATTAATTAAATTGGAAAATATCACTTGGCTGTAATGAACTTTTTTCAAATTTAATCATCTCCTTTTGTTTAAAAAAATCCCAGACAGGAAAGGTTTTCTATGACATATTTCACGATGATTTGGAAGCTTAGAAACTTTAGTAAATTTTAGAATTTAATAGCAATGGTACACTCATTGTCAGCCCATTTAAAATAAACGCGGTAGGGATCTAAATTTTCCTACATTGAGGCACGATCAGGCACGATTAGATATACTTTGGCATGCGCAAGAGATGAGTTTAGTGAAAGATGCAATTATCACTTGTGGAGGTGTTTGATATTAACTGCATGACTCTTCACCTCTAAATATCATTATCGGATCAATATCAGTATCTGGGCAACTGCCCACCTACCCTTCCCCTAACCCAACAACAGTCAAATTAGTTTTTTCAAACAAATAAATAGCAAGAGGGCTTATTTATGATCCAGGATTCAGAGATTATTAAAATCTTTTATCATGATGAAACATTCCTGACAAGGTAGTGTGCCTGTTTATTTTTACTAATGAAATTCTTGTTTTGTTTGCTTGTATAAGTTTGTTCAGCCTCGAGCGGATATTTAAACTATTAATAAACTCATGACCATGTCAAAACTCTTCAAAGAGCTAAAAAATAATGGGATTTGTAGGGGTAGAGTTATTTCAACTGGGTGTCAAAAGTAATCCGGGACTTTGCATTTGTTTTTTCTTTCTTTGCTCCCTTATTGGTCAAGGAAAACTAACGCCATCTTCTTGACCAATCAGGTGCAGAACCAAAGTCAGTCGCATCCTGGTCACTCGCGTTTTTTTCCCGCTTTTTTTCGGTTTTTATTTATTTACATTCGATCTAAATACGCTCTAATATTTTGTCTTGGACGCGTGACATTATTCAGGCTATTTAAACTACTAAAGTTAGCAGTTCTTATCATTTCGAAAGTTGTTGATGCCTTTTTCACAAAATGGCGGAATATTTCGTTACAACCTCACTCGCTGCTTCCATTTTAATCCTTCTTTGTAATGTTTGTGGAAATGTTCTCGTAATTATGGTTATCAGGAACAATAAGAAACTTCACAACGCCAACACTTGCCTCCTTGTAAATCTGGCCTCTTCAGATTTGGGTTTCGCCATTGTAACTTTTATAGATATTTTTCTATTCTCGTACAAGTATACGTCCATTTATTCTTTCCCCGAGTTCATTCTCCATGCGACAGCTTCAATGTAGTAGCAATGGAGAGATATTTCGCCATTCTGAAATCTTTCGTGCACTTGACAAAAGCCGTCAAGTCTATAATGTGGGAACTGATACTTGCAATATGGTTGCTCGCCGGCGTACTAAGTGCACCGGGATTTCTTATTGCTACCCTAAGGCAAAAGTTCATCTGGAGAAACGCTTCGAGAAATACAACAGTTGAAATACCTCGCTGGATTGAGATTTTTTACGCGACGTATTCATTTGTAATCTTCACTTTCGGTCTCATTTTACCAAGTGTTACAATGATATATTGTTATACTCGGATAATTTATCACGCCGAAGCTAATAAAGCAACAAACGTAGCTCTTTTATAGTCGAAACGCAAATTGACAAAACTTTTTATACTGGTTACCTTGATATTTCTCATTGCATGGATCCCAACGTTCACCAGGCTTATTGTCCTACAGTTTGTCAGCATCAATGAAGCATAGAAGTTCGAAATGATTTCTTTCCTCCTAGGATTAGCCGGATCCACAGCCAATCCTGTCATTTATTCATTACATTATCCGAGGTTTCGGCAGGAGGTTGTCAAAACTCTGGCATTTCTTCGTTACTGTAAAGGAAAGAGGCCACCGTATGTAACTACACCCTTTGCGAAAAACCGATACTCATTTAGGAAAACAAAAATGACGACACATCCTTCTGTAAAACTTGTTTCGTATTCAACTCGTATGTAAATGAAGCTGTGTGGAAACAAGGTAATTTGGTAGTATCAACTGTGTCGATAACGTAAATTGGCCACAGTTAAGAGTTTTAAAGCTCACGTTTCGAGCCTAAACCCTTCATCGGAACGAAGGAAACAGACCGATTATGAAACTCCCCTTGAGGATATATTTCCAACAATGGTAGCAGGTTTAGCAGAAGGAGAATTTATTTTCTATTTACAAGTGTAACCTGTTTCGAACGAGGTGCGACATATTTCACCAAGGGGCTTCCCCTGTAAAGGAAGTCAAATTCTATTAATCACATTAGAATACAGGGAAAGGTCTCTGATAAATGCGTTGTAACTCAACAAAGAGGAAATGTTGAAATATTGTTTCCCTCCCCTCCCCTCCTTATAAATGTGTTCCCCCCCCTAGAAAATAGCTAAGATTTTAGTCATTTTGAGCAGCAGTTATTTTTGTCTGCAAACAATTCTAAATCATGTTTTATTTTGCAAGATGAAAGCCTTCCAAAAAATTTAAGGAAGCACAGTTCATAGTACTGTTGCCTTATATGGCGCAAAAAAGGAAAACTTTGATGGAAATACATGGCGCAGAATGGCCGGACATGTTTAAATTTTGAAGCCAGACCAAATATGGTCGTCAGAGGTTTCATACCAAACATGTAATTCCTTCTGATTTTCTTTGCGTTTCTTGATTTTCTCCTGAAACTGTTTCGTCTCATACTCACAATGGTATGATAGGAAAACCTATCATAGAGGTTTTCATTTCGCAGTTCCAACTGAAAGTTAAAGCACATTTTGCACTATTGCTTGCCTGTGTCAAATAGTTAGAAGCCCGAGGGATTGATGGGATACAGCAAAATTAGTTTGTTTCCATCAACTTTGAGTTGGTTGGCCCCAAGATTCTCCTCTTTTTGTTGCGGATGATGGTAATGCGGCTGTCATGTCGGATGTGAAATGGTGAGTAAAGACTCTTCAAAAGGGTTAAGTTAACTTCATCGATCAGGAGCGAATGCAGGGTTAAACCGATGCAGACAAAATTCTTTCAGACTCGGAAGTGGTAATCCTTGATTCATTAAATTGCAATATATATTATCACAGTTAACACAGAAAAAATGTTGAATTTCGAGGCCAAAAACCAAACACAGCGTTTGGATAAAGTTTTCTTAAGCAGTCTCGTCAGTTCATGACACGTTCACCTAATCTCCAGTTCTACTCATAAGCTCTCATCCGAAGGAATGTCGCGCATTCGTGATTCCTGATTGAAATTTCTTCGTGGGAGATATATATTAATTCGATCGGACTCACTTTTCAATAGTCGCTTAATTTCTCTTACAATCGAATTGTCTTTTGGTTCGATTCCTATTAAATTTGTTCCAATATTTCCAATGAAATTGATGATCCACACTCATAATTAAGTTACATACATCCAAAGAAACTAGTCCATTAATTACTACAACAATGTCATGCCAGAAAT